AAGCATTCAAAGCTTTTCCATCGGAATTTCATCCTGCTGCCATTTCTGATGTCATCTGTCTTGGTATCCTTTGATGTCCACGACAGCACCTCGCCAGCTTCAGAGCTACTAGAGGAGCTCGCAAGAGCGTGGAAGCCTTTGTGAGCTCCAGTTGCCTTGGGAATGGACAGCTATGGAAGTCGCTATGGAAGTCGCTATGGAAGTATAGGTCCAATTGCGTGTGCAAAGTCCTAGAGAAAGTAAGCATGAATATGTAACATATGCATAAATATGAAGAAATCGTGAGCGCTGCAACCTCACAGCATGAAGCACCGCACACAGCTTCATGCTGCCTAGGTTAGACATCCGAAAAAGAGAAAACACCTGAACCGCACATATATCGCACTCATTCAATTTTTTGTGCTCTTGGTCTGCTCTTAGGCATGACCTTGAACAACTCGCTCTCTCCCTCTCTTTTGCTTCTGCGCCCTTCATGCGGACAATTCTGCGACTCCACACTCCCGGCTTAGCCTATATCTCCCTCTCGCTGTATCAGCATTTATCGGAGACAGTTTATTAACAACTGAGACACTGCGCTTACCACTAGGGAGGGGCTGTTAAAAAAGTGGGAATCTGCACTTACTATCAAGACCCAGCAGTGCCCAGCAGTCTCCGGAGTTGGGAACAAAAGTCAGATTCCTTGAGAATGGGAGCTGTCGCCTTGAATCTTGACACAAACCCGAGCGACGTCAATTCCCTCGCCATTCGGCAGAACGCCGCTCCTATAATATCTCTTCTTCTCAGAATGTATTTGGTTGGACTGATTGGACCATCAGAATGCCACAACTGCCACAACTAGGATTTCTAGCATTTGCTAGCACTGCACCTGACACAAGCATGCGCAGTGAGGACAATCATGGACCATCTCGCAGTGGAGGTGCTACATGAGTTCCAAAAATGTTTCAACAGACTTCCTCACACTGCAAGGTCCGGTTTCCATCCAAATCGTCGGACCTGTCGAGTCACTTGATCATCGCTGGACTCCAAGTCTTCGTTCACAGCCTCAACCTACTCGACGGAGGGATCTTTGACCCAACACGGAAACGTTGGCAACAAAGTTAAGACCCCCTTGGTCACTAACACCCCTCGATTGTGTCGCATTGCAAGATTTGCAAGCCAGAAAATCCATAAGAAAACCCGGATCCCTCCGGATCCCAGATCCATCTCTCTAGACTCGAGCCGTCGTCCCTGTGCCCATTGCCCTCCGTCCTGTTGATTCTCCGGTGGATCCTCTGGCGCTTTTCGAAGCTCACGGAGCTTCCGCAGCTGCTTCTGCGACATGTCGAAGCCCCCTAAAAGAATGCACACCTTGATTCACTTGAGCTGTGAAATGTACGTGACATGAACGTGACATGTACGTGACATGTGGACGTATGTAGACATGACATTCTGTGACATGCTGTACGGAGTGGGAGAATGGCCCAAATTCCAATGCATGGTGGAGGTTTTGCCCTACTGGTATAGGATGTTGGAGAGGGTTCCGAAAGAAGAGATGCTACTATCAGCTAACCTCGTGGAAACACGTGGAAATCTTCCACCGCTAGTTTGAAACTATGTGCTATTGATGGTGGCTTGCCCTGTGCTACATGTTCAGACGACCGTTTTTTTTGGTGAATTTCCTGACCGAAGGATGCATGATTGTTTACAGCTGGATTGGATAGACGCCCAATTTTGCTGTTTCCTTGGCATACCATTTGTGAGCAAACAAAGCTGCGGGCGACAGCCAAGCCCATGACTCCTTGGCGCTGTTTCACTTTCTGCTTGCATGATTCTGGAACACCTCTATTATATACATATATCATATATATATATACATATGATTGAATATATATATACATATAAATATATATATATACATACATACACATAGTTTTTCGTCGCATTGTTCTAGTGGATCTGCAGCACACCTCGCAGGCAGATCTTTTCGGCACCACCGGAGGTACTTTGCTTCACTCATCTTCGACCCGCAAGTAGTCTACGTCAATGTTCACCACAGCCAAGCCTGGAATACCAAGTCAGGGGAAGCCTCGGCTATTGCTAGAGATCATCAACCCAGAACTTGTACAACTTAAGATAACTTAAGTATCTTCAAACGGTAGGACATCGGTCAGGACTGGAAATGTGTCTAAAAGACCATGGGCCATTGGACAAAGGGATGATTTGCTTCGCAGCATGTTTGCCATTGTTTGCCTACAAATCTGGGCTGCACCGTGCAAACCACGGTAATCTCCGGATCAGCGACCTGCAGTTGATGATGAGTCTCTAAGGACAAATGCGAGACTACCAGAATTGCACTTGCGGTGGGAATTGTCGACATTAAAGTGTGTAAAGTAGAAAACTATTCGGCATCCATGCAAAAGCGTTCCAACATGTTCCAAAAATTTCCAAAGCATTTCCCGACAAGCCAAATGAAAGCGAATTTGAGGAGCACCGAGCCAAGGCCGGAGCAGACTGGCTGTCTGCTCCGAGAATCTCTTTGCAGGCTTCGAAGGCATCCTCTCCGACAGAGGGCCAAGCTGCTAAGATCCGCTAGACCGCTAGGCCAGCCTATGGGTACTATGGGTTAGAGAAGAAAGATATATGATGATATATGTCTATGATATGTCTATGCCTCGGATTCAACCCTCCAATTTGAAGGGACAATCACTTTGAGCCCGGTGAATTCACATTATCTACACTGTATATTTCAACCCCACCTGGAACTTTTTTGGAAAAACTGGGCAACATATTTTTATATTTGTGCTGATGCTGGGATTGTCCAGTGGTTTAGAGGGTTCAAGGCTTTGTTGAAGTGAAGGAGCGGTGCAGCGGTGCCTCTCTTGAAATGGTGTTCCAGCCACCGCGGAAGGGCTCGTACAGCAGCCGCCACTGCCGCCCAGCATGAGCCGCCAGAACATCTGCCAGGCAACACAGGGCACTGAATGTCACACATGTCCGGACACCTTAAAAGTCCCTGCAAAAGACAAAACATGTTTGAGGAAATGCCCTTTTGGAATTGGATATGAGATGATATGAGGCTAGGGATGGCTAGGGTGCCGAATCAATTGTGGAACAGGAATCCGATCCAATCCGACCACATCTGCGCCTTTGGCCAGACCTTAGCGACCAACTTGGTGGACTCAGTGGACTCAGTGGCCGAGCCGAAGGGATGGACTCGGATGGACTGGGCTCCTGACGGCTAAAAGATTCAGCTTTGGGCTGCGAGGACAAGTCTACCGGAAGTATCTCGGAGGTCCACTACGATGACAACATCTTGAAACTGGAGATGCCAGAAATGGAATCAAACTGTATTATTATTTGATATGTGTGTTCAAGATATTTCAGAGTTGTCATCAGAGGGGTTGGCGGGTTAATTCTTCAAACTAACTTGAACCAACTGGCATAAGGTCTCGACTCGATCGGCAAAGCGCGACACGAATCTCTTGGAAGCCTCTGGCGCCAGAAATCGGGACACCAACCTCAAGGAATGGCACAGCAGGTTGCACTGGTGGATAGCGACACTCAAAGCTGCCATGCAGTGATAATTAATCCTCCGCAATCAACAAATGTCAGATGTCCAAAGGGCAATGGCAATGATGTTTCCGCTATGCAAAACCAAACCTGAGGGCTGCACGCTGAGGGAACGTCTTGGTCATGTTGAGTGCGAAGAAACGCTACCTCCCACGATGGCTGGCGCGGCGATCAACTTTTCTGCAGGTAACTCAACAAACATGGTTCTGTTTCAGCTGCTTGCCTGCTTGCAAACCATGCCATAAGTCAGGAATCTCCTAAGTTAGAGAAATCATCAGGAATCGCCGCAAGAATTTGCATATGCATAGGGGTGAACAGGGCTGTTTCAATAGTCGCCAGGGTCACCAGATGTCACTAGTTTCAAGAACTGGAGCCATTCTTGTGCTCTAAGATGCTCTAAGCCCCTCACCTTTCAGCGGGATCACTCCGGAGCTCTGCAAGTTCTGCATCCAGACCTATGTCACAAGCAGAATAGGCCAATAGGATCAATAGGATCAACAGGCTGATTACCGGTGGGAATCCGGTGGGATTTGGTGCTATATGTGCTATGTTATCTATGTATATCTATGTTTCATACAGGTTTTGAATTTGATGCTCACATCTTTGGACGGGTGTGCCATGGTGTGCCTTGGACGGATTCGAAATCTGAGGATTGGACTCTGAGACACGGAGCCAGTGCTTGCTTTCACTTCTTCAGCCTGAGGCCAGAAAGATCAGAAAGGCAAAAAGACACTTGGCACGGTAAACGCTTAGAACATCCATGAAATTCCATGAACATCCTAAAACCCACTTGAGTTATCTCACACATAATTCTAGCTCAGGTGCACATTCCTGATGCCATCTGGTGCATTACAGTAGGTTTGTGATGGCTGGACCAACAGCCACTGCCCACATGGCATGCCTCCACTTCTAGCCACAAACGCAAATCTTTAAGGCCTTCAGGCTGAGGAGTTGCTTGCAAGAGATGGACCAAAGGCCGCGTGTATGTCATGGTAAGTCGGATGACAAACACTGTGATACTGAGAAATACTGAGGAATACTGAGAATGCTTGAAGACCTGTGCTGCATCACCAGTGTGTCGAAAGCAACCTTCATCTTAACGTCTTAACGTCTGATGTCTGAAGCACCTTGGCCAAATCTTAGGTCCTTGTGCCTTAACAAGCCATGGATCTCTCAGGATCTCTCAGGATCTCTCAGGATCTCTCAGGATCTCTCAAGTCCTTCCCCTCGGCCTCGTAGGGCTTCCTGGCATGTGCTGCCAGTGACTAGGAAGCCACGCTCACCATCGATGTAACCACCCTGAAGCAGCTGAAGCACACGGGCAGCGCACATGGAAGCCCAGCCTTTGAGAAGACAGAATTGGTGGATTGCGGTGGATTCCTTTTTTAGTGTCAGGTCATGTCAGGGTCTGAAAACCTATTGGTGACCTAACTTAGATATGTTATTTTCAAATGGCATCGGAGGTCTTGAACATCTGTGCTTTCTGTTGTTCATGACAGCTCTCCTCCCTCACTCTGCCTGTACTTGCCTATTACCGGAGATTATCACAGCTGACAGGATGGCATCCCATCTTGCCTTGGAAGTTTTCGCCTTCTTCTGAGGTCTTTCACCCTCCTGCCAACGGTGCCACAAAAAAAAAAAACTGTGGCCACCTTGCAGTTATCTGCCGGGAAGATCGCCTACAAAAGGCGGCTCTGCGATACTATGTGAGTCACTATGGGCCCACATGTCTGTACTGTTAATGAGTTCTGATGAAACCCAATAATGACCAAGGGCAGTTACCAGGGTACAGGTCATCAGCGCTCCTTTGATCTCTCAGCCATTGGGCTCACTGTGCTCCATCTTCCGCAAAGGACTTCCAAACCAGCAAGCAGCCAACTGCGTCAACTGTTCTTGCCCCATGCCTGTGGAAGCTGTACGAAGTTTTCCTTTTGGTCCAGGCTCTGTATGCTGAGTTGCGGCTCTGTTTGCTGAGTTGTGTGGAAGATAGTCGAGCATGGAATTCTAGTGAGTTCTTGAAAGCACATCTTGAATCAGAGCCGGCAGCTGCGTCCCATGATATGACATTTTAGCTCACAAAAAAGTTGCGTTCAAACCATCAGAGATACCAACGTTTTGAAATTGATGTCCAGGTCCACATCCCTTTTTGATCAACTACATTCCCAAAACAAACATTGAATCCTTTTTGCCCGCATCAATCTGTATCACCAGTTGCATATACAATCCAGCTTACAACAAATACATGAGCTGCAGCTACACCGAACACACCTACACTGGCTGCACCGGATACACCGGCTACACTGGTGACACTGTTAACTGCAGGACAGTCACTCCCATAGACCTCATCATCCAATGTTCCATCGGTCGCACTCAGCCATGATTGAAACCTGGAATTCCATGCCAGAAAATCGGGAAGCGTCTCACCCAAACCAAACCTGGTGCCGCTGCGTCTTCGACCATGGACGCAGAAGCTGGTGCCGCTGTGTCTCCCACCATGGACACAGATGTGCAAAATCACACGATCCCAATTGATTGAGGCATAATCCGAACAGCATAGGCCACATTCGTTGAAGGCGACTATGCATGTGGTTGCATGGTTCAGTAATATCGCATTATTCTTCCTCACTGTTTGTGGTTCCTTTCTGGTGTCTCTCACGGAATGCCTTTCTTGTATATCTCTTAGAGGATATGTGTGAAAAATTATGTGTTCCACATTCGAACCCTGTTCGAATGTGGAACACAGCGGTACAGGTTGCGTCAATAAGTACTAGCTTACCAGCGCGCCAGCGTATCAGCGTACCAGCGAAACAGCGTATCAGCGCATCAGCGTGTCAGAGCACCCGCGTGTGAGCATCTAAGCCTCTCAGCGAACCAGCGTACCAGCGCATCAGCATATGATCCTATTACCCTTGCTACCTGGCAACCTTACCAGTTCCTCAGGGTATCACAGCGTCGAAGCAAGTCCGGACACGCATTGCCACAATTTTCAATTTTGTTTTCTACGTTTTACCGTCCCAGCTTTGGTTTTTTGAATATATATATATATATATATGTTTGACATGAATTGGGACACTACCCTAACTACGGTTTTTAAAACAACTTTTTCGACGCAGCCTTTGGTCTTTGGAACTTCTGCGTTTTATAAACTTCACCTGTTGGTAAACTAGGGGGCTTTGACTGTGTCTTTGAAATATCAACTTCTGAATTGATGGTGGCGCATTTCCAGCACATCTCCGATGAAATAGTGATCGAAGGCGTGTATCACTACAAGCTTCTCAGTCTAGGTTCATGCAGCACTACCTTTTTTTAATAGAAGAGACCAAAGAGATTCCAGCATTTTTGGTCCAAATCGACAAAAATGCAGGGTGTGTGTGTGTGTGTGACGACAAAAATGCAGGGTGTGTGTGTGTGTGACAATCTTCTATTTGAAATGGGTTTGGCCACGTACCAGCGATTCCCTGACCGATCCACCTTCTACTGCACATGGAAACAAGTTCTTTCATTTGATATGGAACAGCTGTGTCTAGGATAAAGTTGTTTTTGGATGTTCTTGGTGGGTGTATATGCAGTGCGACCACTCTCTGCTTTTTCGGGCTGGCTTACTTTGCTACCAACCAAGTCGACCTGGAGCATTGCAGTGTCTTGCAATGCTGCACAGCTACACAGGCCGAAGCGGAAAACCTGAACCACCAGGATGGTGATGGATCAGAGTGCTGCGTCCACGATAAGACGGTCGAGATTTCAACATATTTCAACAATGTCCTAACCGATCAGCCTTGAATCCTCCTTGGATCCTCAGAGAAATCAATGTTACAAGATGTTACAAGGATACATCAGAAATGAAGAGATCCAAATGTCACCCTGACCTGGTCGGAGTGGCACCCTTGGCCACTACCACGTAAGGCACTAGGAGATCGATCTATCACCTAAGGTGAAGTCATCGCACTAGGTTGCGAAGTTCCAAGCAATCTCAGGATGACCGCCCAGTACTGACTCGTACCTGGCAAGAAACGACGACCTCAATGAACCTTCAATCTAATTTTTTATCTGTTGGTTCCCGTTGGCTTCTGCTGGTTTCTGTTGATTTCTGTCGGTTCACATTTCAGGATTCTGCTGGTTGCACCCTGAATTGTCTTTCTTACAGGAGCCCATGTTCCCATGTTGAACTGTGACTTACAATGTTTTCGATCCCCACCCCAGACTCTGCACTGCTCTCCTGGCTGTCAGAGAAAGGACATACCTGCGCGACTCACGGAATCATCCGGAATCATACAAAATCAGACTCAATTAGATCATTCATTTGGAGATGTCAACGTAGAAATGTGGCTTGATGACATAGGTGGTACAACGAACGTCAGGCCATGGGTCTGAGCATCATGGAATTCAAGAACATGGTTTGAATGGTTTGCACAGCATCGAAATGACACCAAAATTGGTCCTAGGATGTCCTAGGCCTAAAGCTCGGCCAAGCATTGACATGTGAATCGATGATATCGATGTGACTTGTTTTTTACTAAGCCTCAGTCATAGGTGCTTTCCAGGATTCCAGAGATCCCTTGCTCTCTAATCGTGTTTAAAAGCCAACACAGGGGACCCTGGATTAATTAAATGCACAAAGATGACAACCCATGTTACCCATGTTTATTAACTGCCACGTGTTTCAAAAGGATTCCTGAGATTTCCTGAGACGTAGAGGATGATTTATTGATGTTGGTTATTGAGAACATCTGCCCATCATTGCCTATCCCATCTTGTGGCAGCTACGCAGCTACCCCAACTTCCATGAAAATACCTCTCCGGTTTCCCAGGTTTTTCCCTTCACTGAGACCGAGGCGACGAATTTCGAATGTCGCCAGCATCCCACTGCACAACTGGATCAACTCCTCAAAACACGTCGACAGCTCCGGATCTTTTCGGAACCTCCTTGTTTGTCTTGCTTTGTTAACTTTGCCTTCTTTATCTTGTTTGGATCATGTTTTGGACTTCGGCTAACCCGAGGCAAAGTTTCTGGCTGCCGATGGCTGCCAGTCCACAAAACAGAGTTGAGGAGAACGAACAGCCGGTATAGTACAAGGCATCGAAAATCAAAAGCTGCAAAATGTTCCAAGGTAGGTAACAACATCAAGAACATTCAAGAACCTGCGAAGGTTTCAACTGAGCGACATAACTGAAGGGCAGCTGATGGTCTGGGTACGCACTCGTCATACCGATTACCGATGGAGAGAATTCAATGGCCGAAGCAGAATATATGAAACCATATGACACCAAAACGAGCAGGTATGGAGAAGCAACCGAAACGAACCCTTGCCTTGCTGAGACATAGGAAAATAAAATCAGGAAAACCATCTCATCCATCTCCATTGAAGGGTTCAGGTGCTGGTTTCCAACTATCCATGATCGCTCATGATCCAAAGCGGTTTCAACATGGCTCACTTTGGCATTCCAAATGGGCAAGGGCATGAAGAGCATTGAAGGGCCACGCCAAGTTCAGGGTCAAAAAAGGATGCTCAACATGGCTCAACTACTGCAAGCAGTGACCAACTGGATTCCTAACACTCTTCCGATTCTCGACCGAGCAACAGGTATTTTTCCCCAGGTTAGAACTCCCTCACTCAAGACAATGCAGCCCAAACGGGAAATTACTCAAACATGTTCCACTGTTCAACTGGTCAACTGTTCAACCAATCTTGAAGCTCTAGATGCTCCAACATTCTTATGCAAGTCTGATCTCCATAAATACTTTCCACCAATGGATATGTTCAAGGGGCATCACAAAGTTATAATCTTCTGAACTTGGGACTGTAAACCGTTTACATCATGTTATACATCATGTTATGTTATACATTTACTTCAATACAATTCAATACATATAGATCATCTATTTCAATCATCTTCAACACAATTCAATACATATACCCGGTATATATCCGGTATATATACCCGATATTTCAAGAAATCTCCAGCGCCAGCCTGGAGGGCAGGTTCCCGCATTCGGCGGCGACGAGGAAATCTCCGTGGCAGCTGCCTCAGCGGCCTGGCATTCGTGACTGGCGAAGCGGCGAAGCATTGCTGAATCAGGGTGATCTGCAATTATCCAATATGATGATATGATAGATATATAACATGATAGAACATGATATAGTATAGATCTGCGATGATCTGCATGTGAATCACATAGATATGTATGCTATGTATAATGAATATAGGTGCGTGCATGTGTGTGTGTGTGTGCATTCTACATGTTATACAAATACGTATCGGGATCATATCTGTGAAAGACATGTAACGATGAGGGAAGGATCGAGGATCTTGCGTCTCATGTGATCTCCGGTGATCTCCGATCAGGTTGCGCTACAGTGCTCAGATTTTTCTTTGCCAAAAGGTGTCTTGGCAGCTTGTTTGCATTATTGTTGAAAGCATGAAAACCTTGGCAGTGGCACATGATGTTTTCATTGTGGGCATGGCATCCTCCACCTATCCAACAATTCTTGAACCACAGAGACTCTAGAATGTAGTTGGAACATGTTGGCACATCCTAAGAAGCCAGGTTGATCAGGTTGGATAATGCCAATCTTGCAGCATCCTGCCGGACGCGGCGGTTCCGCCTGAGCATCTTTGCCGACCAGAAGGAGCAGGGCGCAGCGAGAGTGCACGAACTGCACCAGTGACTTAAACGTGGTCATAAAAAAATAAGATGAAAAGATGTAGCCAAATAATCCGTCCCACTCCAGCCTTGGCCATTTCCAATCCTTCACTTTCATCAGCTCCCCAAATGAGAACCTTCTTGGCCGGGAGGCTGTTGTAGTAATTCCTGATCAACGGAATCAACAAATGTCTGGCAGCCTGTTCACAGCCTCCTCCAACATAAGATGTATAGCTCTATATACATATATATATTCATTAACATTAATATTAATATTAATATTGTATTATTAAATTATATGAGGTCCACTGAAGTCCCCAAAATTGCTGCCAAAGTGCAAGCTCATACCTTCGAGTATGGCAACCGCTTCCTGCACGTCAACAGAGAGTCGACTCTACGGCCATCCTTTCTGCATGTCCCGAACGGCCATGAACAGTATGCGTCTGGCATTGCATTGCTTCATTGGTATCTTCGACTCTAAGAGCTCTTGCCCTGAGTGTTGTGATCCTTGCAAATCAAGACAAAACTGAACCTAAGTCATCCTAAGTCCAACTCTTGAGTTGACGGGTACATGATGCAAAATGATGGTTGCGCGCTGTTAATGTTTGTAAGCATCTCTATGATGTCTCTATGCAAGAAAATATTGGGAAATCGCGCTGCAGCATCCCTCGCTGCATCCCTCACCTGCAGCAGGTATAAGTAAATCAGCCTGAAGCGGACTCCGCGGACCATCGTGACGAATCGTGACGAATCGTGACGAATCGTGACTTTGGTGGTCACGTAACTGGAGACCTGTTTGAATGACCTGTTTGAGCCATTCCTCACGACGAGACATTGATGCCTTTCATGGGCTCTGCATCTGTCCCCACAGGTCTCACTGACAACATGATCTCATTGTCATGTTTGTGTGCGGGGCCTTTTTGCACAAGTCACGCAGGTGACTCAAAAACATGGTACAGCGGGGCACCAAGTGGAAAACATGGAACTCAGAGCCCCAAGGCCCAAGGGGACTTCTTGGCCCAATGCGCCAATGGCAGCGACTTGACATCATCTCCTGATGCTAAAACAATCTAAAACATAAGTGGCCGTAGCAGTAAGTAAAACAGTGCAATAGAAGTAGGAAACCTGATGATGTCAAGAAAGCATGCTGCCACTCACCCAACTGCAGTGGGATCAATTATTGCATTTTCAGGGACCTGGCATCACATGCCAAACAAATTGACTGATGAATTTGTGCGAGCAAAGATGTGCCAACAACGCGGCTCCTACATCTCTTACCTCAGCTAAGTTGCGCATGATGGCGCATGCAGACTGTACACTTTAAACATTGGCTTTTACACAGCCACCTTCCCAAGTCTGAAAATTCTGAAAGGAGCTTGCGGAGATCTGACGGATTGCAAGTCCTGCCACTCTAGAGATCTGGTGCACTCGGCGTCAGTTCCCTCTCCAGCTCCGTCAGCCTGCGGTGCATGTGACGACACCGTCACGACGGGCACGTGACGACACCGTCACGACGGACACGTGACCTGTGGCACCAGGGAGTGCTGGGCTCCCTGCGACTGGGTTGAAAGGGTGGAGTTTCTGGTCACACTCTCCTGGCGTAGACACGACCACATACGAGTACCAAACACCTCCCAAGCATATCAAACATGTACCCATATGCACCCTAAAGGCCCTGAACGCGACATCCACATGAAAGACAACTCTCCAAGACAAAATGAGATGATCCGAAGAAAATGATTTGCACAAAAGCATACAAAAATGGTAGCAGTCCCGGCTCAGATTGAAAGGACCCGATCTCTCCTCCAAATCTCTCGGGTCGCAGTGCAATTTGGCCTTGGTGCGGCCACTAAACCACACAGAGATGTCAAAGGACAGGTGGCACATGCCCACATGACACTGGGAATGAGGCCTCGAGCACCTCAAGTTCCTCAACTAAGGGGTGATGTGGCACGCTGCGCACAGGCCTTGAAGGTTGGCTGGCTGACTTTCACTTCAGGATCTTCAATCATCTTTTGGATGAATATGTTTATTCATTGGGAACATATGAGTTAAATTGGGAACATATGAGTTAAATTGATTTATACCTAGTATATCCTAGTATAATAATGTATAATATGTGTCATCTTTCAGAGTAGGTTTTGGATCTGAGCTTCTTGCGCGATAACGTCCCGACGTTTTGCCTCCATCCCTCCGTCGAGCCATGGGTGCGCCAAAGCTGCCAACGGTTCCGGCGAGGCAGCACACGCAGCAAATGATTGTAACAGCATGTAACAGCTAGAAGCAACGAAATGATACGAAATGCAATCCAACAGCCATGTGGTGCATGTCTGGGTCAGCTCCGGCGTCAAACTCAGGCTCCACCCCAGGAAACACTAAGGAAACACAAAAAAACTGTCCCTTTGAGTCTTGTTTCGATTTGTTTCGCCAGCCTTCGCTTGCCGATGAGAAGCGACTTTTCGCATCGACGGCCTCCACATGGACCCATGGGGCCAGTTGGATGGTGGACGGGTGGAATCGGAGTGAGGTCTGTGCCATCAGCTTCTGGCAGAACTTGATGGCTTCAGGCCTGGAATGGCAATGGCAATGGCCATGGCCATCAATTTCAACATATATCAATCTTGTTTCAACCTGTTTCAATTGGTCTCACCTTGCCTCGCATCTGCGGCCTCAGCACCTAAGAAAACTATAGAAAACTTAAGTCATTGGAATGTGTTTGAGTGTTTTGATCCAAGATGATCCAGGTTGAATATGGTTGAATCATCCTGACGCAGAATATTGCAGAATGCAGAAAATGAAAAACCTCGGAGATCTTCCATCCTGAGGTGCTGGCTCCAGTTGACGCTGACGCTTTCCAGCCGCTGCCGGATGGCCTCCATGGCCGGACTTCCAACCCAGTTTTCGCCCGGCCGATCCTGGCATCGCATCAGTTGTGGCTGATGCGAAACGCTGCAAGCTATGGATCTACATGGATCTACATGGATCTACATGATCTGCGTTGGACTCAGGAGCATTGTGAAGCTGGGACAGAGGGCCGTTAAATGTGTTAAACTGACCATAGTGGCCATCACATTTCCAATGTTTCCACTCTACTCGGATGGCTCCCGTGGTCCGGTGCTGATCCTACATCGCAATGTGATCCAAAAAACTGCTCAACATTTGAGGCTGTCTGAGGTTGGGGCGTCAAAAATAAAAGCCTCACAAAGCAACCAACATCTGTTGGTTCAAACTAGTCCAATCCCAGAGCTCCGTTTGGGTGACTTGTTCATGAGCCATTTCCAGTAACGCTCCCACAGCAAGGTTCAAGATGACACCTTGAAGGGAAACCGTTGGAAAAGCATCTTGTAGAGGACAACTCCGGCTGAAAACCTTGGGTGAACCAATCAGTGGATCCTTGCTGGTGGGTCTTGGCGAGCACAAGACATACAAATGAGTAACACGATCAGTGATCAGTCATGATCAGTCTACAAGGGTCATGACATGTGCACAAAATCTGGGTCCAAAGCAAGTCTGACTGAGGAGAGGAATCGCCACTGTACCTCGGGGCGTTGTTCCCCTAACATGTCACCTTGCGCCACAGAACCGATATTTGTCACACATTGCGACGCTGAGAGTCACTGGGTTCAAGGACTCCTCTGGGGCAATGTATTGATCAGTTCCTCGCACCCACCTAAGCGAAACGTCCATCTTGGTGTGCTTTGCTGTGCTAATGTGGGAGCTGATTCGCTCATTGAAATTGGTGTACCCTTTGACATCATTGGCCTTTTAATTCATGTGGCTTTCAGCATGCTTGGATAGTTGGGCTTGGCAAACATCCATGGAGACTGAGGGGTCTTTTGTATAGGAGTTCCATAAGTTGGGGGCTCGAATAAATTATGTTTCATGCTGGATGCGATCAAATCACCACGTGTTTGAGAATAGATGTTGATATACATAGGCGTTGAGATAACCCCTGATATACCATTGCAAAAAATGTAATCTGCGCCCGCGGAACATTGACCCACTTACTTCCCAAGGACAAGCCAGCTGGAATGTCGCCCAAACAGATTGACATTTCCAATTCACCCTCCACTGAAGCTGGCAAATTCACTTACACTACAGCGACCAGTCAATCCAACTATATTAGGCTGTGTTAGTCGGCTGCCGCACTCCCCTTTTTTCGGTCAAGCATACACAGGTGTATATTGCTTTCTTATTGAAGAAAGCACCTGAAGTGAAAGATGTCCCTCTGGACATATTTGGTCCTTTGACCCTTTCCCGACCCCATGGTCATTTTCAGCCGAAACACGCAAGGCACGTGCTGGCCAGGGGCACAAGGCATGCCCTGCACTGAAAAGGCTAAGTAGCCCTTATGCCATTCCGCCAGACCCAGCGAGGACGCACGGGACTGGGGGGGAGGGAGCCAAACGCTAAGGCGTGGTCAACCTCAAACAGCCTAACATTCGACCAATCTCGAAAGACTAGGCTGTGTTAGTCGGCTGCCGCACTCCCCTTTTTTCGGTCAAGCATACACAGGTGTATATTGCTTTCTTATTGAAGAAAGCACCTGAAGTGAAAGATGTCCCTCTGGACATATTTGGTCCTTTGACCCTTTCCCGACCCTATGGTCATTTTCAGCCGAAACACGCAAGGCACGTGCTGGCCAGGGGCACAAGGCATGCCCTGCACTGAAAAGGCTAAGTAGCCCTTATGCCATTCCACGGCTCCATTCATGCCTCCAAAGAGGCGTCAAGGTACCAAATGGGGTGGGAGCCCCTGGGAATAACGGGCGAGGAGGGCCTTAGTTTTTGCTGTAAAACGCAACTGCGACATTTCCGCCATGCCGGCCTCGATATAGAGGCGGGCCACACTCAGTGCCCGCCATCTGCCACGGAGAAGAATGCTCTCCAGAGATTGCTCCACCTGGTAGCTGTGCGTAGCTCCTCCTCTCCTGATAGAGTAGGGCTGGAAGCCAAGAGGGGAGAGATGAAGACGATCCAAACCTTGATAGTAAAGGCTGCGGAACCTGGCGGCACTATAAGGCCAAATGAACGCCTCGGGATTAAGGCACCTCTCCAGGTGGCAGAGCTCCCAAAGCTGATGCAAGGCCTTATCGTTGATGGCCACCGCTTCATCCACATTGAACCGTAGGCCAGTCTTACTACCCTTAATGGACACCACTCCGTGTTCCGGGGTCAGCATGACGTCCCGTACCTGAAGTTTGAGAATTTCCCCGGTGCGGAGATAGGTATGAAACCCCAGCGCCACCAGGAATGCCAGCGCGGGTTCCTCCCATTCCAGGAAGACCCCAACTAGCGCCCGACAGACAACCCGGGGCAGCGGCGGGGCACGCTGCGGGACCTCAATTTTGCGCCAGTTTTTGTACAAGCGCCAAGCCCCACGGAGATGTCCCTTGACCTGCGGCCAGAAGAAGTGGATACCACAAAGGGCATCTCCTATCAGTCCCAGCGGTGTGCCACTGATCCACTGGGCCTCAATCCACTCCTCACAGAGTGGGTCCAGCTCGTCCAGCGACTCCGCGGCTTCAAGGGTCGGCAGCAGCGTGGCCACGGCGCTGGTGTAGCGTCGTTCTGTTTTGACGCTAATCCCTACCGCTCGCAGCGAGACACCACGTCGCGCGGCGCGCCTCTCCGCCAGCGACTTCCCCTTTTTAATGGGGGGTCTCCCTGCTTGCGGCATCCGTCGGGTTTTCCGACGAGTCCACGTGTCCCTGTAGCTGGTGGGAATTCAGAGCCAAGAGGTAAGCAGCGATCTCACGCGTCATAGGCTGAAGTAGCTTACTTGAGGTCCTGCCCTTACTCAACACATAATTACACACCATACTATCAGAAAGATGCAACCACCTGGAGCACAAGCTAGAGGATGAACGCGCTCTCCAGCGAACGCTTTGCAGAATCATCTTCATCTCCAAATAATTAATGTGGTTGGGGAACCGCCAACGCGTGGTAAAAAGGATTCTCCAGGTCCACCAGTCAGCACGGAGGGAAAGATGATTTGAAGACTTATCCGAGAAAGGGGTCCCCAAAGAAATTGAAACATCAGCCCCGGTGTGGTTGACGTGCCTCGAAAGCTGGGCCGTTAGCTCATCCATGGTGACGGCTCTGTCAGGTTCAGGTCCATAAGAAAGTCGGCGTTGCAGGGGCGCGGCGACATCAGCCTGCAGCGAGCAGCCGGGCGCCAGCCCCATGCGTTGAATCACCTCCGAAGGGGTCCGACTCCGAATCCATCGCCAACAGAGCTGACTTACCAGCCATCCAAATGACAGCATCGAGAAAGAATCCCCGCATAGGGACAACTGCAAGTCCTCCAGCTCCTGTTCATGCCCCTTAGCTTGGCTAGCCGACATGGCGAAGGCGGTGTGGCCGAACCCAAAGCCTAACAGCAGGCAGCGTTCAGTCGCGTTGCAGTAACGCAGGTCCCCATCCTCACTCTCCAGCAGGTTGTCCAGCTTGTACTGATAGGGAGGGAACCTGAAACTGTCACTGCGCCAGCGCGCGATGGCGCTTTCATCACATCTGGCCACACCAGCGGGCCGATCAGGCGGCCTCAAGCGCGCTATGGCCTTCATGAAGGTCGGGAGCTTCCCATGACCGTCATACCTCTTCCAGCCTGGTGTGATCCATTGCTCATCAGTTATACCGGCGCCACTCATCCAAACTCTGGTGAAGCCGTCCAGCCGTTCCAGGCGAATGCCCGGCCCTTCTTCCAGCCTCTCACTGACCCAGGCAAGTCTTGGCCGATTATACGGCAACAGGTCCGACGGGCAGAGCGCATACGGCTCGACGCCCAGAACCTGCGAAATCTCGCGCCGGGCCGAGGTATCCATGGAGAGGACATTCTCAATGATAAAGTCCACCTGCGCAGTGGGGCCAAAGATGGTTCGGAGCCATTGCAGCAGGGCCACCAAGTTCCAGAAAAGCTTCGATCCTTCCCCGCTTAAGTTCAGCCGCCCAGCGCGGACAGCTGACAGGTGAACACAGGGGAAGCCGCCCACCAAGTGCACATGGGTGACTCGGGGGAAGCGATTGCTCCACTCCTTTACGGTGCTTTCTGTCACCGTTTCAATGTCACCCACTTCAATCACGCGTGGCCAGGCCTTCCGTGTGACCCTTTGGGCGGCTTTGCTCCACTCAATAGCCACCAGTCCTCGGGGTTTTACTCCGGCCGAGTCATAACCCCGGAATGCCCCTCCTATCCCGTTGAATGCAGATACCACCAGCAGCTCCACTTCCACCGCTGCGCATCCAGGGTCTTGAAGGCATCTAGTAAGCTGCCCGCCAGCGCTCGTAAGCGACACGGCAGTAGCCACAGCTCCTCCAAAATGGGACGCGTCCGAACAGGTCACCACCGGCGAGAAAGTCGCCCTCAAGTCCGTTTGGAGTAATGGCACCAAACAGACTAGTAGCCCGAGCTCTTGCTTGACCACTGGCCACCAGCGCCTGCGGTCTTGACCTTTGCGTCCATAGTTCCAGCTTTGGCTGAGGACTGCCATGGCCGGCCGCCTGAATTGCAGGGCAAATACCCAGCGTCCCAATATTATCTGCACCCACTTAGTCTTGGGCAGCCTTTCCCCCAGCAACATCAATGTCGCCACCAATAACTTGTGGATCCGTTGTGGGCCGGCGCCAACCAAACCGTGCTCACCGTTCAGATGGACCCCCAGTTCCGTGGCGTCCTGGGCGCTCAAGACGTGCTTGTCTTCGGCACAGAGCACTCCTTCGCGGGTCCATGCCCTGACTGCCTCGCGGTGAAGGTCACCAGAGGCCGAGTCGGGCAGACCCTTTAAACTGACTTCACCTGCCATGAAGTTGTCCAGGTAAACTTGCCAGAACAAACGCGGTCCAGCCCGGGCCACCGTGTCCACAAACCAGGGAGGGGCCAGAGCTTGCCTCTTGAGCTCGACGGCCCCCCACGTCTGGCACCGCTTGACCAGCTGCCTAGATGCCATCTGCATCAGCCCAACGGACGAGTTCCATCCCATCGGAAGGACCTTGCAAGCCGGCACATAGGTTTTGTTGGCATCCCGCCCCAGCGCTGAGCCGCGCGTCGGGGCATTGAAGGCCATAAACCGGCGCCACGGTGCAGGCAAGCTGAACAAGTAGAATGCGCTGCTCATATCAGCCTGGCTGATGTGAACCGTCTCGGACTCGTCCAGCATCAGTTGGTTCCAGGTTGTAGCCATCGGCAGCTCACCTATGTCTCCCCTCACTATGTCCAGGGCCCGGTTGATGGGCTTCAAATTCATGATCACCCGTAGAAGTGGGTCACCCGCGGGCGAAAACTTGCCAGCTTTCGGCACCCCGAACATGCCCGCCAAATAGGGCCCGCCGTCATCAGAGTAGACGTCTTGCAGATCAATCCACTCAACGATGCCGCGCTCTTCCAACAGCTCCCAGACCTTCATGGCTTCACCCAGCGCGATGTGCACACGGGCAGCATTAGGTCCCTCTTCCATCAGCTCCTTGTCCAGCAGTAGCTCTTCCGGTCGCTGGATCAGGTACTCCGCGCGGCCTACCAAGAGAGGGGTGAGTTCAACCGACCCCCCATGACCCAGGGGGGGCAGGCTGGCCGTGATCTGCTCCCGGGTTAGTGCCACCGGCTCCACAAATTCCTCCCCGTCATAGGAGATCCTCTTACTTAAGACGTCCTGCCAGACTTCGTGGGGGTCAACCTTTAAGGGGGAAAACAAAGAAAGGAACCGCCCAATCCGGGCATCCAAAACTCTCAACAGCTCTAGAACCTGCCGACCCAACCGCTTGCGGGGCGCTGACTTTTTGCAGCCGGACAGAACGTTCAGTCCATGGCATACAAGCGCTAGCCATGCGCACTCGGGGCCACCACAGGCCTCTCCTGTCAGGGCTTCCCGACTACAATCTACTGGCAGCGGGAACAGCAGGGAAGATCGCCCAAAAGCATCTTGAGATGCGGTATGCTTGACCTCTTGAAACAACCGATCCATACCAATTGGCAACCTCCCCTCGCTGATCCCTGCCGCCAGGGCCAGGCCTAGCGCGCGGGGGCATTCAAAATCGGCCCACTCCACGTTGGAAAAAGAGCGCCCGGGATAGCGTTGTGTGCCTACCCCAGCGCAAGGGTCCCACAACCGTGGACCTTCCATCGACGCATCCATGTAGGGGTCGACAGAACCAGCTCCCATGAATTCAGTCAAAGCAGCCGGCCTTCCGCTTCCTTCGGCGGTGACCAGCCACTCTGAGAGCACTTCCTGTAGCAGCTCATCCGGCCAGGCATCCAGTTCCGACGGCACAGCGCCAGTAGCGCACGTGCCATCACCTGGAAACCCCGCTACCAACGGCGCGACGTGCGTCTCGTCTGCAGCAGGGCCCTCACCGGGGCCGCTCACTTCGCTCCACTCGGGGCGGCTGCCCCCTCTCCTTCTTTCGGCGCATCCTTTCCTCCTCCTTTTGCTCGAGGGGATCTCCAGGGGCTCTTGCCCTTCCGGCCTCCTTTGCCTCGACCAGCTCCTTCTCCTTTTCCTTTCGCTCCTCCTTTCTCGTCGGCTTTGGCTCCTGGAGTTTCGCGCGGGGCCCACGATCCTCCCCAGCGGCTCCAAGTCCTCTGCCCGGTCGCTTTCTCGATGGTCCTGGTGTGCTTCTGGGCGCGCAGCATGACGGCCGGCGGGGCCAGCCCAGCATGTCGCACCGGGATCACCTCGAGGTGCTGGGCGTCCTGCCAATTGTTTGTCAGCCCGGCGGACTCGACTGCGAGAAACCTCCCTGCTAAGGCGTCGCCTAGCTCTGGGAGGGCGCCTTGGGCCAGCAAGTCTATGCAACGGCCCAGCGTCTCCAGCTCGCGTAAGTCCCGCACCTTCCCAGGCAATTGGGGTTTGGCCACAATTTGGAAATAGGACATCATCTTGCTTGTCCTGTCCAGCAGGGGGCTTGTGTCTCCTTTGCGCACGGCGGCGTCCGCCAGCGCTTCCCCCACTGATTCCAGCAGCATCTTCAACACCGAGCCTGGGTGGCGCGCCGCCTTCTTCTGCAGCGGGGGCAGCAGGCTTGAGGACGATGAGCTCTCCTCGGATGAACCGCTCCTTGAGTCGCGGCTGTCGCGCCTGCGCCTCCCTTTCTTCTTCTTCTTCTTTTTCTTCCGCGAAGGGCTCCTGGAATCGCGCCTGCGCCGGCGTGGGGACCGGGTGCGGGATCTCCCTTGATTTCGCTGCGCTACGGCGTCCGCCAGCGCGCTTTTCATCGAGGGTTCTCTCGCACGTCGCCGGTCCCCCCGCTCTGGCTCGGGGGCACGCTCCTCCGCGGTGTCCTCGATCGCTGCCACCTGACGATGCGATGCTGTCGCAACCGCTCCAGGGGCTGTCAGGGCTGTCCTTCCAGGTGGCGACACGGCGTCTAGGCCAGCGCCGGCCGGAGGACCGTGTTGCCTCATCTGAAGCCGCTTCCGCAGGGCTGCAACTCGATCTGGGGCTCCTTCGTCTCTCCTCTCGGGGGCGCCCTCTCCTTTTCCCAGGCCGCCTCTGCCTCTCTCCTCCAGCGTGGCGGCATAGAGTTTCCGCCATTCTTTCAACTTGACCTTTTCCACGTACTTGGGCGGATGCGACCCCGGTGGGAACACGGCGAACTCTTGGATGTGCCAGAGCTTTGGGTGATTGTCCTCGCAGGACAGCGGGCCATGCTTGCACACATGGACGCGGCGACGTTGCCGCGAGAACATTTTCACCCCCTCCAAACGGCACCAGTGGGCGTCGGCTCCAAGCAATTTGACTCCCAAGTAAAGTCCGCTTTCCTCTCGGCACACGTCGCTCACGTAGATACATACCAGGCCTTTCTCGTCCTCGTTTCCATTGCGCCGCAGAAAGGGGAGTTCCAGCACACACCCCTTTTCCACTGGACAGTCTTTCCAAAACTGCGGGTCCCTGATAGCATCTACCAGGATGGCCACTCCTGGTTCCCCAACCTCGCTGCCTCCTTCTCCTCCCTCTCCCGGTGGGGATGGAGGAAAGGGAGGGATCGTTTCCTCTGGGCCGTCCTCCATTCCGGCCCCCAAGTCTCCCGCCATCATGACCGGTGGGAATGACGACGAGGGCGGCTGCCCAGGTCAAGGGGTTCCACCGGCAGGTGGTGATGGAAGGATTGGTCGGGCTGATAGAGCCCCCTGTAGTTTTGCTGATGTTTCTTTCCGCCTCGACGGTTGCGATTCTTCTTCTTCTTGTCAGACTTGTGGCGGCTCCTAGACCGCTCCCGCTCCTCGCGCTCCGGCGCGGGCGGTGGAGCTCGTGAGGGTGACCTTGGGGCCTCCTTCCCACGATCCGACGGGGGGTTCACCGGTCCAGCGTCGTCACCAGGACGCTCGCGCGGTTGGTGATCCTCCTCACCCGTCTCCTCCTCACTGCTCTCGCTCCCGAAATCTACCTTCTCCTCGGGCTCACGCCTCCGGTCCCGGTCCTTCTCTCTTTTCACGGAGGGGAGTCTGTCTCGCCCGTCCGCTTTGGATTTGGCCGCGGCCGACCTGGACACCTGATTGGTGATCTCGTTCAGCCGCTCCTTAGTGTTGCGCAGCCTGTCCGAGAGTGAGCAGATCTCACCCTGGACTTGCCGGTCCAGTTTTATCACACCTTGGACCTGCCGCGCAGTCTGGCGCACCAGCTCCTCACAGAGAGCCCGGTGTGCCGCGGAGTAGAAGCGATGCCTGGCGCTATCGCTCAGCAGCTGACTGCACGAGCAGATGGAGCACCAGGTATCGCCTTCCACCGCGGACCCACTGTGACACCTCTTGCACAGCGGGTCTCCTTGGGGCATGCCGGCTCTCCCTTTTGAGCCAAACGCTAAGGCGTGGTCAACCTCAAACAGCCTAACATTCGACCCATCTCGAAAGACTATGTCATCATATTTCAATATATTTCACTAACCTGAAATGAAGGCGATTTTGGGATAGTTAAGCCCCTACTAATCATCATTTTTGCGCATGCTTTTGCAAAAAATTGGTAATCCACTTCATTTGACCGTTTTACTATTGAAACAACCATGGTTACTTGGGGTACCCCTATTTCAGGAAACCTCCATATGCTAATCATCATTCTTGTTGTGGTCATTTTCCACAGCAAACAACTCAAGAATTAAACCTGGTTGGTGGTTTCAACCCCTCTGAAAAATATGAGTTCGTCAGTTGGGATGATGAAATTCCCAATATATGGAAAAATACATAATCCAAATGTTCCAAACCACCAACCAGAAACTATCTATCAAAGCTTGGGGATGTCATCATACTCCAAACCTTGCTGGACTGAAAGAATCAAGGCAGTGCCGAAGTCTTAGATAGCCTGCAACGATGAAATTCTTAGCTGCTGAACCAGGAGAATCATCCCATTGATACCAAAAGACTAAAGTGACTAAAGGATTAACGTACCCATCTAAGACTGACCTAGAAAGTCAATCACTAGCTACAAGTAGAATTGTTATTTCTATGATTTAAATGCTAGTGATTGACTTTCTAGGTCAGCTACAATCATAAATGTTTAAATCATAGAATTTGCTAATCATGATTGCTATTTCTATGATTTCAACATATTTAAACATCCCTTTGGAGCATCCAACAAGTCCCTCCAACACCCGGCCCATTGACGTCGAGGATCGAAGCACCTCAGGAATCGGCACCCAAAATGGCTTTTGCTGCTGAGTTTTCCAGTCTATGAATGGTGTTTAAACGCATAAAACATTGGAATTCTAGCAGGGAAATTGCGTTTTAACAGTAAAAATAAGGGGCCTTTAATTAGTAGGGAAATGGTGTTTGAACAAATGAAATATCAGGATTTTAGCAGGGATTGATAGTCTTGATGATCTTCAAAGTCAACTAAGTTGATGTGTAACTTGTACAACAGTTCAGTTTATGGTACCCTCTGGTAAACAAACATAGCTATTGAAAATGGCCGTTTACAGTGGATTTACCCTTTAAAAACGGTGATTTTCCATAGTTTTGTAAATGTTTACCAGAGGGTATATCGAACTGGTGAAAAACTGTGACACCAAAGAATCACACAGCTTCACTGTGGGGCACTACATTGTATGGGTCAAGTTATTGCTGTATCAATGGACCCAGAACATTTTTCTTGGTGGTTGACCTACCCATCTGAAAAATATGAGTCAGTTGGGATGATGAAATTCCCAATATATGGAAAATAATCCAAATGTTCCAAGCCACCAACCGGTGTTTAAATTGGTCACGTTTCGATTAAACCATCCGTTGAGGAAGTTAATGATTTGGACACCATACCCACATATGTAAAATATTTACATATGTAAAAATACAGTTTTTTCAGACAAAATGGGGACTTGGGAATTAACATGATTTAACCAAGAAGAATGGAACTCTTTCACCAACAGAAAAAGGACATTCATCACAACAAAACACAGACGTGATGTCATCAAAATTACGGATTTCACCAGCAAAAAGCTAAATTATAACGAACACACATTTAATTTATGTAACCTAGCAACCTAGCAACATGAAGAATTTATGCAAACAAAAAAAAAGAAAAGAACCATTTTTTTTCTGGGATCGTTGGAGTGTTACATCGCTTTTGTGGATAGAATACACATTCCATCTCAGGACACGATCATGGGGTATATTCGGGTATATAACCAACAAGATCTACTAGAGCCATTAAATATACCCCTATCCCATCTGATTATACTGGTTCTGGTTGGTGAATAGGTGTCCCTACTGTGGGTGATCATAATCCGAATACATCCCCATTCATTACTAGTAGTATAATCGCTTCTGATAACCTATCAACCATGATATTTGTTTACAGTGCCAATCTTAGATACCCTGCAAAAAATGACAAATTCTTTGCTGGCTAGTACTGTAGATAATCCCATACCAAAAGACTAGTAAGGACGAGTTTCTACCCATCTAGTCGATTGACCTACTACAGTATAGTTATTACCCTCTGGTAAACGTTTACAGTTTGCGAACTTGAAAATGGCTCAGTCGAAATAGTGGATTTTCCCAGCTATAGCATGGTGATTTGGCCATAGAAATAGTGGATTTTCCCATTAAACATGGTGATTCTTTCCATGGTTTTTTTTGTTAACGTTTACCAGGCCCGGTGACATCGCTCCAAAAACTTGGGGTCAACTCGCCAGGATGTTGATAAAAGGCGACACAATCATGGGGTTTTTGAAGCCCCAAACAGTTGGGAACCCCCATAACTCTGGTTACTATAGTGATATAACTAGGATTTATAACTATATTATCTACTATAGTGGGGATATAACTACGATTTAGTTATTCCTAGGATTTACTAGGTGATATAACTACAATGTGAGGCCCCCCAGTGATGTGAACGTTGGTTAACAAAAGCCTCTGTAACTAGTTCGTTATTTGCGTACCATAAGCCATAGTGAAATTGGAGTTATGTTCACCAACTTAGCTATCTTGGGGGCCTCACATTGTATGGTCAATATAATGTTATACCTCATAATAACTGGAACTGCTGGCACTTTCTAGTTATTCATAGATTGAAATTATATAAATTGATGATGAAAATCGTTAGGTTTTCATAACTCAGCATAGTGAAATTTATAGATTCCAATTGTTAATTCATCATATAATACATAGTTAGATTCCAATTTATAGTTATATACATGTCTTTATTGTAATATTTCTAATGTTGTACCTCTATTGTTCTGGACTTTACAGATTTCAATTCTATCGGCGTCTGTATCTCCATCATCAATTTGGCAGAGCTGTGTCTATCACGTGTCCCTTGCGCTTACCCTCTGGTAAACGTACAAAAAACTATGGAAATCCCCACTTTAAATTTTTAATGGGTAAATCAGTAAATCGATTAAACATGACCATTTTCAATAGCAAACTGTTAGTTTACCAGATGGTATATAGTTTTTACGTTCCACACCTTCAGGTATTCAGGTAAAAAAACAAAGAATATGGATATGGCTCAGTTTACCAAGTAGTTCGGTTATCATATTTGATTATCTGATCCATGAAGTCTTTCAGTGCAGAAAAAACATCTATATTTAGCTGGAGGCTGCACGCTCCGGCAAGGCTCCAGCACACGCGAATCGGCAGGAACTGTCCTGGGCAGGCCATGACTGCAGCGACCAAGACGACTGAAAGGACTGCGCTGCGGCCATAGCACTGCATCGCTCTTCATGTCACGCCTTGGATGCAGAATGTTCAACAGGCAACTTTGTGTCCTGCAGCCCACATATCTTTTTTTTGCGCCGGGCTTCACCCATCTGCCACTCTCTCATAAACTCCAGCGCTTGTTGGGAGCAAAGGCCACAGTCAAACCTCTTTGTTAAGAATCGTCTCTGGTGAGGTATTATGCTGTCCTTTTCAACTGATTTAAATACATGTATCATCAAGAAAAAATCAGGTTTTATCACTAACACCACAAAACATCGTCAATTATCTGGATCCAAACAGCTACACCCCAACATTGCTTGACCAAAACCAATTCTGTATCTTCCGAAGACTATCCCCAATCCCTGTATACCCTTCCATGTCATCAAATGTGGCTAGCTGGGAAATCCCCGAACTCAAATGGAGGTTTACAGCTGGGAAAATCATCGAACTAAATGGCCAGTTGTTCATTGGCATTTTTGATTACCTAAGGGTATCTCTATTATATAATTATCTTATATAATATCATACAATATCATATAATATCATATAATATCATATAAAATCATATAAAATCATATAATATCATATAATATCATATAATATCCTCATTTACAGTATCCCTGTTTTATCATCGTCATCATTGGTACCCAAAATGAGAAGTGTTCGTCCCTCTATACTGGTTGGTAGATGTGGATTTCCAATGAGTCATAATCATCCCAAACCCTATGGATCCAAGTATCTTCTTAGGAAGTGGGACTGGGGTATGATTTACTATAATTTGGAGGGTTAGCCGTACCTTCTAAGACAGTGGCCATGGATCCATAGGGCAAATCAACCAGTAAAAAACCTACTTAAATAGTCAATCAGCAATCATGTATCAATTGTACCCCGAAAAAAACATGGTGAGATGAATCAATCCTTTAATTCATGATCAAATGTCCATTGAATAACGATGATTCAACCGATAATCAAAATGTGTCTTTTTTGGTCACTATGAAAGAAAACATCCCCAATAATTTTCTTTGATATCCCAATTCTATCCTATCATAGTTCCCCTTGACATTCAAAAAATATCCAGGTGTGCATCCGCATGTTCTATCGCCCCCATCCTCCATCATATGAATCCCCAAAGGAGGATGAATAGCCTCTGGTAAACGTACGAAAAAACTATGGAAAATCACCATGTTTAATAGGTAATTCAACTATAAATGGCCATTTTCAATAGCAAACTATTAGTTTACCAGAGGGTAATCAATCTGGATCATATGATATTCATCCCTTAAGATACTCCCATGATATGTTGATCCCTTCAAGGTGGTGCCCCAGTTGCCAACATCAGGCACCAGGTACCACTCACAAGTGGCTTAGATGTCCCCAGAAGTCGATTCTATGACAAAATTCCACATTTTTGTTGCTTCACCCCAGGGTACCCATCCTGGTAAACGTTTTACAAAAAAAACGATGGAAAATCATCATTTTTAATGGGAAAATCCACTATTTCATACTATTTCTATGGAAAATCACTATTAATGGGAAAACTCACTATTTCGACTGGGCCCAAGTTCGCAAACTGTAAACGTTTACCAGAGGGTACCTTAAGATATTCCAATTCAGCAACCCCAAAAAAACGGCGCGGTGAACGGCGGGCTAGGCACGTCGAACTGCACGAAGCTGCAGCAGCTAACGAAGATGATCAAGGTGGGGCAGTAGAGCACGTAGAGGGAGGCCACATTCCACCTGCTGTTGGTTGATGATGGGCTACCCATCATGAAAAAGGGTCTGAACCATAATGGATAAAATGGAACATAATCTTATGATGTTTAACTGATAATATGTCCAAGCTTTCCACTTGTCTATCTTTTTTGGGCTTGCTAGAATCAGTTTAAACCCATATGTTTGTTTGATCAGCACCCTGTTTTTATTGATTGAACCCAGGAAAACCCAGGAATTAAAAAATGTATCAAGCCTTTTTGGCACGTACAGGTTGGAACATGTCTTGTTTCGGGGATGTTGAACGCCACTTTAAAAAGTGTGTCTGTTGGAGACAACATATATCCCCAATTGGAAGACAGAACGTCCGCACCTGGTAGCTCCCTGGATGGTCTTGATAAATAACCTGATCTGTGAGGTGGGAAATCCATGGAACACATGGCTATGTTTGATGGGAATATAGAAGGATTTAACTTGATTTAACCATCAACAATAGGACATATCATAGGGATAATTTGGGATTGATCATCAATCATTTGAGTGAAGGAGGGATGGAAATATTGGTTTACCAACCATCTACAAATGGCGGCTGATCTTTTTCTTTCCATGGCTATGTGAATGTGACCAAAGGGTAACACCCTTTGGTAGGGTCCCCAAACGAAGGTAACTTAGTTTATAATCAACATACTTATATAATTGGAATTAATTGTTGTGTATACATATATATATTGTAACCACGGGCCCTACAGAGCGTATTCTATGGTTGGCGATCACAAATCGAAAATGCCCAGATGATTTCTCCAGCAACAAACGCTCGACAAAGAGATTAGGGATTTCCGCTAAGAGAGATCTTCGGCTTTCACCTCACCAACATAGAAAATCCCTTATAAATGGAGGTTTCTAGCTGGAAAAATCATCTATACATGGGCCATGGCTTCCATGGCAAACTGTTAAATTACCAGAGGGTTTTTGGTTTCCAAAGTCATATTTGGGTACCCCAGTTCTCATCCAAATCATCCAAATCATCCAAATCATCCAATCCAAGCCATGCCAAGTTGCTCCTTGATCGGCAAGGCGTTCTTGCGACCTGGACAACTGGGCCCCGAAGTTGCTCCAACTGGGCCCCAATGTTCAATCGCGAGGATGTTCATCTTTGACACAACTTGACAGAGTTGGTTGATATAACATGATATAACATGATATAACATGATATAACATGATATAACATGATACAACCACTTTTATCTTGTCATTTAACTGGGATTTTTCATGGATTATTTATGCTATATATAGTTGGAAGTGATAAATGGGACACGGTGGGTTCTTCATGGATGATTGACAAATTATTCATGGGGATATTATGGTAGAATACTTGGGATATTAACCTCAGGATCCCTCAGGTGTCATCAAACCTTGCTAGCTGGAAAATTCCCGAAGTAAATGGAGGTAAATAATTACCCTCTGGTAAACTAACATAGCTATTGAAAATCTTATAGTGAGTTTTCCCATTAAACATGGTGATTTTCCATAGTTATGTTAGTTTACCAGAGGGTATATAGCTGGGAAAATCATCGAACTAAATTGGTACATCTACCAGCACGCCACGTTTGAGTATCGGAGGCTAAATCCATCAATATCTCACTATTATCACATTGTTATCCCATTATTACCCATTATTATTATCCCTATTCAACACCATATAAAACCATTAAACCATTAAACCCTAATATATATAATATTCCAATTCATATTTACCATCTGGTAAACGTTTACATAGCTATTGAACACGGCCATGTAGTTCGGTGATTTACCCATTAGAAGTCGTGATTTTCCACTTCGCTATGTAAACACGTTTACCAGAGGGTAATATTCCCATTTACCATCTATTTATGCAGTACTTCGTTCGAGTTTTACCATCCATTTTCCATTAAGTCACCATTTTCCATGACCATTTTGCCAGAGGGTAATATTCCCATTAAAATATTTACAGGGGCTTGCCATCCTCCACACCCTTCCAGCAGTTCACAGTGGAAAATGTCCACTGGGAATTTCGGCGAGCTTTCCATAGCCCCTTGGGGGACCCCAATTTATGGCTGGTTTATTGATGTTTATTTCATGGAAAACCCCCCAAACAAATGGATGAGAACAGGGGCTATCGAGATGAATTGGAAACCTCGAACTGAATCTGAATGATGATTTGATGCCAAACTTGTAGGATTTTGCTTCAAATTTTGCGACCCCGAGGCTTCCAGCCGCAGCCAAAGTCCACGGAGAGTCCCAACTCTTGTTCACCCCACATGGATTTTTGTTTGGTGAAATATAGATCATGAATATCTGGTTGGTGGTTTCAACCTACCCCTCTGAAAAATATAAGTTCGTCAGTTGGGATGATGAAATTCCCAACTGAATGGGAAAAAAAACAAATGTTCCAAACCACCAACCAGATATTCTTGAATCATATCAGACTGTCAAAGGAGCCGTCCCTCCAACTCTGGTTACGGTCAACGCAACGAAATCCCCAAAAACAACATGCTTTTACCCACGTGCTTGTCGGTCATTTGGCCCATCATCTGAATGAAAATAATTCACTAATCTGAAAATAGCTGATGATTCCCCTAGCCATCATTCCAGTGACGACTCACAACGTGAAGTCCAATTCATCCATGCATACAAGCTGGTGCCCCCCACAGTTATGTTCGTTGGTTTATAATCCCCATGAACTCTATAGATATAACCCCCTAATCAACCCGAGTTATTGGACTTTTTTGCACCAACTTAGCGATTCCGAACTGGGGCACCACCTGATATAGTGATATTAAAAAAAACTATTAGTGAGATTATATAGTTACTATAGTTCTGATATTATAATACTATAGTTACTATAGTTACGAAAAAAATCCCAACCAACTGATTTTATAAATAATCCCCATATAAATCGATAATTCCCCATTAATCATATAAATATCCTATAGTTAACGAACTGGGGCACCACCTTGTAGCTGCTAGGGGCCTCGTTTGGAGCGCGCGTTTTGGGAGTTGATGACTTGGATACCTGGGCGTCGCATGAGGATACCATGAGGATAGCAGCCAAAGGTGGCTTACCCTCTGTTAAACGCACGAAAAACTATGGAAAATCACCATTTTTAATGGGAAAACTCACTATAAACTGCCATTAAATCCACTATTTCAATGGCCATTTTCAATAGCTATGTTTGACATAACCAGAGGGTACCAATACTGTAGTGACGTTTCAAAAGGTTTGATTGGTAGAAATTGAAGTCTTCATGCACAGAAGAAAAAAACTCATCGTTTGCAGCTATGCTGTGATGAATCAGAATAGTTGGACCAAAGTTCATGGACTACTCCCTTCCCGCAGATATGAAACACCCCTAGAAGCCCTGGATGAGCATTGGATATATCATCATTTTGGGGCCGGCAGGGATGGGCGGTCATCAACAACCATTTTGGCAAACTATAACTGGTTGGTGGTTTTAACCATCTTGAAAAATATGAAAGTCAATGGGAAGGATTATCCCATATATTAAATATATCATGGAAAATAAAACATTATTGAAACATATTGAAACCACCAACCAGATAAGAAACATGAAAAAACCAAAATGCTTTGGCGAATGGAGGCCGTTCAAAAAACACAGAGCGAACTTCTTCGCAGATCGAGACAAGTCGACGTCGACGACTTCAGACATCAGCCAAGTTGGGGATGACTTCCCGACAAGCGATACCCTCTTGTAAACATACAAAAAACTATGGACAATCACCATTGAAATAGTGGATTTTCCCATGAAAAATTAGGTGGATTTTTCCATAGTTACGTTAGTTTACGTAAACGTTTACCAGAGGGTAAAGATGCACATCACTGAGAAAGATGGTTTAGATCCCACAGATCCCACTTTATATTTGTTAGTTGACATCCCGGGGGATCTTAACCCAACATCTATGAAAAAAAATGTGCATAGAAGCCACATATCAACAACTAATGTCTGAAAGACTTTTCTAAGAATTGGATGGTTTCTAGTACTACAGTATTTGTCATTTTACCCTCTGGGTAAATGAAGCATATGGAAACCAAAACCCAGTTCGAGATGATAAAAAACATGATCTACCTAGTGAGCATGGTGTTTTTTTCCCCACCTGCCAGGTGAGGGTTGTTAGATTTTATCTAAGTTGCCTTCTCCTCCTCCTCCTCCTCTCCTCCTCCTCTCCTCCTCCTCTCGTCGTCCTCCTCCTCTCGTTGTCCTCCTCCTCTCGTTGTCCTCCTCGTCTCGTTGTCCTCCTCGTCCTCCTGCTCAACTGCGACTCGCGATCCACAGTGTTCGCTGCCGGACCTCAACCACGACCATCCCCGCCCAGTGTTCCCTGCCGGACCTCAACCACGACCATCCACGCCCAGTGTTCCCTGCCGGACCTCAACCGAGAGTATCCACGCCAAGTGTTCCCTGCCGGACCTCATGTAGGAAGATATGGGACAAAGAATGTGCAGAAGAAAGTTAGAAAGAATGTCAGAAAGAATGTCAGAAGATATTCCAGAAGATATGCCAGATAGAATGCCAAATAGAATGCCAAATAGAATGCCAGAAGATATGTCAGAATATATGCCAGAAGATATGCCAGATAGAATGCCAGATAATATGCCAGAAGATATGCCAGATAGAATGCCAGATAGGATGCCAGAAGATTTGCCAGATAGAATGCCAGAAAATATGCCAGAAGATATGCCAGATAGATATGCCAGAAGATATGTCAGAAGATATGCCAGAAGATATGTCAGAATATATGCCAGAAGATATGTCAGATAGAATGCCAGAAGATATGCCAGAATATATGCCAGAAGATATGCCAGATAGAATGCCAGATTGAATGCCAGAAGATATGTCAGATAGAGTGCCAGAAGATATGCCAGATAGAATGCCAGAAGATTTGCCAGATAGAATGCCAGAAAATATGCCAGAAGATATGTCAGATCATATGCCAGAAGATATGCCAGATAGAATGCCAAATAGAATGTCAGAAGATATGTCAGATAGAATGCCAGAAGATTTGCCAGTAAGAAAATGTATATATGTCATGGTGGGGATCACACGAAGTAAAGTAATTCATAGTAAACTGCTAAATCACCAAAGCAGGTCATGGGTCTGAAACGCCAATTTCCATCATTTTTCCATAGCCCTGTGATTACGCCAAACAGATGCCGAACACGTGTTTCCAGGATGCTGTAAATGATGTGTCCTCCATAATTTCTAAAAACACATCTGGAGGAATCCCATTTGATACGTTACAAAAGTATGGAGGACACATCCAAGATGATATAATAGATTCCTGGTTGGTGGTTTCAACCCCTCTGAAAAATATGAAAGTCAGTTGGGGCTATTATTCCCAACTGAATGGAAAAAAATCCAAATGTTCTAAACCACCAACCAGATTCCAACGTTTCTATTTGTGGGTTGCTTATTAAAACATCATACCCTCTTGTTATGACTAACAGTTCGCCATGGAAGCCATGGCCCTAATCGAACTAGATGATTTTCCCAGCTAGAAACCTCCATTTATCTTGGGGGATTTTCCAGTTCTCTATGTTAGTCAGAAAACCAAATGGTAAATCCAACAGCCTGCCTAGTGAAATGATCCATGAAACGTGTCAAAGTCCCAGTTATTGATCAAGTGAGCTTATCTGAAAGTAGGATACCCTCTGGTAAACATACAAAAAACTATGGAAAATCACCATTTATAGTAGATTTTCCCATGAAAAATGGTGGATCTTTCCATAGTTACGTTAGTTTACCAGAGGGTACCGCCAAAATAAGATGCTTTATCATGTGGTTCTTTCCGACAAAATTGTTTTTTTGGGGTGGCATCCACCATGTTTGGACAAACCTAAACCATTGTTCATTTGTTAAATCATGTTAATTCTTATGTGTTCATTTTTAAATCACCTGGCTCAAGCGAAAAAAAATCTGGTCCCAGTTGGTTTTTTCAGTTTCCACCACTCCCCCCCCCGCACTGGCGCGGCCGTGCCACCCGTCTTGACAATGAAGAACACCTGGGATGCTGGAAGTGGATCTTCCAGTGCTGATGGAGCTGCCCCAGCTGGTGAATTTTTGGGCTGTCACCACCAATTCATGGGATATACAGTAAATGGGAATATTCATGGAATATATGTATGTATATATATATAATCAACTATTAGATGGATGTATCTGAGTAATTCATTTCATATCCCGAAAAATAATATCCCATTCTATAATCAACTATAATGGAATATTACTCAGATATGTAATTCATAATATCTCACTCACCGAAGAAATCTCTGGCTACGTCACAGTAAGGTCATGTGAAGTGGGCTGTCCACAGAGGCTGGCGGATCCCAGTGATGGTTTACCAAAAAAAATCTATTGGAGACCTACATATCATCCATAAGATCCTGGAACACTTTGTAGGTGGATGATATCCCTTAAGATTTATGTAGGTGGATGATACACTTAAGTCTATCTTTGTGTTCTGACCCGTTTTTTTTTTTTTCGGTGGTTCATATCCCACTTCTTCCCAAGTTTTTGGCGAATTTGAACTAATCAATAATCAACTTAACATAACTTAAGTCTGCCCCAAAAATAATCAACTTAACATAACTTAAAGTCTGCCCCAAATATCATCCACTTTCAGAAAAAATACTTTACTTCGTGTGATCCCCACCATGACATTTATACATTTTCTTACTGGCAAATCTTCTGGCATTCTATCTGACATATCTTCTGACATTCTATTTGGCATTCTATCTGGCATATCTTCTGGCATATGTTCTGGCATATCTTCTGGCATATCTTCTGGCATTCTATCTGGCAAATCTTCTGGCATTCTATCTGGCATATCTTCTGGCATCTATCTGACATATCTTCTGGCATTCTATCTGGCATATCTTCTGGCATATATTCTGACATATCTTCTGGCATTCTATCTGACATATCTTCTGGCATATATTCTGACATATCTTCTGGCATATCTTCTGGCATCTGGCATATCTTCTGGCATATTTTCTGGCATTCTATCTGGCAAATCTTCTGGCATTCTATCTGGCATATCTTCTGGCATATCTATCTTCTGGCATTCTATCTGGCATTCTATCTTCTTCTGGCATTCTATCTGGGCATTCTATCTGGCATTCTATCTGGCATATCTTCTGGCATATCTGGCATATCTTCTGGCATCTTATCTTCTGGCATTCTATCTGGCATTCTATCTGGCATTCTATCATTCTATCTGGCATATCTTCTGGCATCTTCTGGCATGACTGGCATTCTTCTCCTTCTCTTTGCATTCTCACATTCTTTGTCTATCCATATCTTCCTACATGAGGTCCGGCAGGGAACACTTGGCATGGATACTCGCGGTTGAGGTCCGGCAGGGAACACTGGGCGTGGATGGTCGTGGTTGAGGTCCGGCAGGGAACACTGGGCGTGGCTGGTCGTGGTTGAGGTCCGGCAGGGAACACTGGGCGTGGATGGTCGTGGTTGAGGTCCGGCAGAGAACACTGTGGATCGCGGGTCGCAGTTGGACGAGGACGACGAGGACGACGAGGACGACGAGGACGACGAGGACGACAAGGACGACAAGGATGACAAGGAGGACGAGGAGGACGAGGAGGAGAGGAGGAGAGGAGGAGGAGGAGGAGGACGAGGCAGGAGGAGGCAACTGACATAAAATCTAACAACCCTCACCTGGCAGGTGGGGAACTACACTACTTGCTGATAAAATCAGTAAAAATCAACCGAGCGTTGTTGGCCACTCCCATGATGTGGGGCTCAAAACAGTACCGGTTGGTCGTCTCACTTCTGACCAAAATGTGATGTAGTCAATTGGGATCATCATCCTAGGTACCCTCTGGTAATTTAACATCATAACATAGCTATTGAAAATGGATGAAAATGGCACATGTACTTCCTTGATGTTGATTTACCGAACTTAAAGATTGTGATTCTCCAGTTCGCAAACTCTTCGTTTACATTCGGGGCTAGGGTTAAAAGTAACCTGGTTGATGGGAGCAACCCCTCCGAAAAATATGAAAGTCAGTTGGGGCTATTATTCCCAACTGAATGGAAAGTCATAATCCATTCATGTTCCAGTCACCACCAAGCAGATCACCATAATATTCCCAGTCCGTTGTTGGTTTATAGCCTATGAAAACCACTATTTTTACCATCACATAATCCAGTCATGTTCCAGTCACCACCAACCAGAAATATTGTTATTCTAATGATTAACCATTATTAACCATAGATTAACCACATAGATTAACCACCAACCAGTAACAAATGAACATCCTCCGCTGACATCCCGCCGTGGAGCTTTCGCTGGGAACATCCAACGTTTCGTGGTGAATTCCAGCAACCACTGGCTGTGATGCTCATTGAAAAGGAGTATTTTTTCAGCAATAAACCTCCAAATGTCTAGTGAGAATTGTTTGTTTATAAACACCATTTAAATATTTAAGTAGATATATCATGTGAATCTACCATAAACCACAAAATTCACATATTTATTTGCATCAACTTTGCAAACTAGGGCACCACCTCGTTACCAAAGGCTACTTGAAACCGACCAACCCGAGATGATGCAGAAAAACAAACAACTCCAAACGGCGCTCCAAAGCACGGTGCTCGCAGCAAAAATCGCTGGCATCAACACAGCGCCCGTAACGAAAACGAAGGTCTCGGGCGGGGACCATGCAGGCATATTTTGTCGTGATTTTTTGAGGACAAAAATGGGGAAAATCAAGTATGAAAAGTTGGATGTTAAATATACATGTATACTGTATATATATAGAGTATATATTTATTTAATTCTATTTATACACAGAGTACATATATTCATTCAGAAACTATAGGATTGATTGAAACACTCACAGTCGGATTTCACCATGAACAAACGTGATTTAACAAGGGAAGGTTGGGATTTGAACCATGAAAAAACCTTGGAACTTAACGATGGAAATTGCCTCCATATGTTTACTTTAGGTTGAATGAAAGGTTTGAAGCCATGAGATGGCATGGGCTACTCTGACCCCAGTATCTCACAAATCCAGTCTCCAGTCTCCAGCTTGTCAGAAATTACAATTCCAAAACATGCATAAATTGATATAAATTGTGATAAATTAGTATCAAGAATGCATTGGTACCAACCCTACCAAGTACATACTAAACTATCCATACTAAGAGGACATAAATTAAAGTCTGAGGACAAATAAACTCGGGGTGTATTAATCTCTATTCTGGGAACCAACGAAACTGTGAAAAAAAGGACCACTGTGTCCCTGCAACTATTGTAGCAACGAGAGGAAACAATCACAATATATCAACCATTGCATGATATATCAACATTGTATTTACCATTTTTTCTACCATATTTATCATATTTTAACCATTTTTTTGTATTCAACCATTGTATGATATATCACAGGAATCATACAACATCATACAACCAGCTTCCCAATGTTCAAGGTTGAATCCCAGGAGACAAATTCCATGCGTGTTGCGCCGTACAAGATGGTGGTGCCCACCCAGTTTAATGTGAACGTTGGTTATGATATCCCCAGAATAGTATAGATATGACCCCCATGAAAAACCTAGGTAAATTGGACTTTTTTGCACCAGCTTAGCTACCCTCTGGTAAACGTTTACAGTTTGCGAACTTGAAAATGGCCAGTCGGAATAGTGGATTTACCCATTAAACATAGTGATTTTCCAGTTCGCGATGTAAATGTTTACCAGAGGATACGTTGATGACGCGCCATCGCCCCGAAAAAACCGTCCCCCCCACAGAATCTGGCGCCTGCGAATTCCGAGCGGCGCCAAAGAACAAACAATCAAAACCTGTCGAGGATCATCCGATCATCCATCACCCACCATCCCATGTAATAGGAATATGTCATCTAATTACGCATATATATATATATATCATTATGATATATGAAAAAATATACATAACTATGGAAATAACGGAGAATACTGGACATATACTGCATGCATAATGTTGATATAAATATGTATATATATAATTGACATTTATTGACCCAGATCATAACTATCAATGGCTTTTGGACCTACTTGGATGCCCATCTTCGTGGCTTTAAAACAATGTTATCCCATTTATAAATGGATTGGTTTTCACGGGAAAATCTTAACCGGAAACCATGGGTTTTTACCATTCAATATACCCTCTGGTAATTTAACATAGCTATTGAACATTACCATTTATAGTGGATTTTCCCATTGAAAATGGTGATTTTCCATAGCTATGTTGGTTTGGTAGGGGTTTCCGGTTTCAATTTTTCCTTAAAACCCCACTAGGTATCTATGTGGGTTGATCAAGTGTTCCCACGGATGAACGGTCCCAAGTCTGCCATGAACTGGAAACACAAAATCATGGTCTGGTCAACAAAAAAACTCATGTCTGACTAACATTAGAGTCTGGTCAACAAAACTAAGTTTTTTCTGGATTTGGGACTAACAAACTGGATTTGCCATGTATCAGAACTGCACATTGCTGGTCAAAAAGAAAAACTAATGTTAGTGAAGCAATAATAAGACCATCCATTTGTCGATGGTTTATACAGCCCATTTATGGTAGGATTGGGATTGGGGATAGTCTACTATTGCTCTACTATTCTACTACCATTGTAGCCTAAACACAGCGCATGCGGTTTCTGCCGAAAACATGGTTTCTACATGGTAAAACCAGGGCTTGCTGCAGATTCCCTCAAACCAACCTCGCCAGTAGACCGTTCACTGGCCCAAATCTGATCCAGCGGTGTGTCTGAAAACGGGGGATGCCCTTGAAAATGCCGATTTTTCATGGGGAAAACATATAGAATGACCATGAATAACCATCATAAAACCATGGATTTTCCGCTTCAACCCACATGTTTTCGGCCGGCCTAAAAGGGTATGGAACGGATACCTGCAGCTGGCGCAGCGGCGCGGCGCTTGGGGGGTGTATTTGAATAGTGGGAAGCGATTGATACAAACTATAGGGAGGTACCCCAATTTATGGATGGTTTATCATGGAAAATCCTATTAAGATGGATGATTTGGGTACCCCCATTTTAGGAAACCTCCATATGTTCAAAGATAGAGGTGCAACCGCGAAAGAATTGCAAGTGCAGCCGCTCAAATTGCAACTTCTATGGTTCATTACTATACACATTAGATGTCACTGGTTTCCCATTGTCAGCTTGGTCTGCACACCATCTACAAGGCGCTGCCAGAAACTGCTGAGACAAAGTCTGGCCAGTGATGGAGAATGCGGATCCGCAAATGGAAGAGATGCCACTGACCCACGGCCATGTTGAACACCTGGGAGTCTCCGCCAACATTGATCTGTCATTGAGCTGCAGGCTGGGATGTTCCAGAGCTGCAAGTTCTGTTTGCGCAACTCATCGCGGCTGCCGCATGTAGAAACGCTGAAATATGAACACACTGAATCTGTCAGCTGAAGCGTTCCACATCTTTTCCACCTTGCAAGGCAGCCAATTGATTGGTTTGTGGTTTAGTTCACCGGTGTGGCTTATCTATACGGATGCAATCAACTTATGGATTGGTTTGCTTACCTGAACTCTGATTCAGGAGCAAACTGCTGTTGTAGGCTACTATTTCCCATTCTTCACACTCCCATACTTTGCCAAGTTGGTTTATACTTAGTTTCTCTATGGTTTATGGTAGATACATCTATAGCTAATGGCGTTTATATTCGTTTATAAATCAACTGATAACTGGGGGGCACCACTGGACCAGCCCCAAGCATCACAGGGCTGAGACGACTGAAACTGGATGAGCGTCATAGTCGATTCCAAAATGGAGATTCAACTACAAGGTGGTGCCCCAGTTCGTTAGCTACCCGGCCTGGTAAACATACAAAAAACTATTGGAAATGGCAATTTATAGTGGGTTTTCCCATTCAAAATGGTGATTTTCCATACCCTCAATATCAAGCAAACCCCCTTGTCCGACAAATTAGAACCCCAAATCTGAGGTCTAGAATGGTGTTCCTTTAAAAAACCCAAGGTTTCAAATCTCTTAACGGAGAGCATGCTAGACCCCCAAAGTCTGCAGAGGGGTAGGGGTCTAGAATCATGTTCGTGTAAGCTATAAAATCATGGAAAATTGACACGATTTTTTGGCGAATCTCCTTCTTATGATTTAAAACAAAACTTTGCATTTCATTTGCACACAGTTTTTGTCCTCCCGTACGCATTGCACGGTTCAGGTCATCATAATGTTTTGGATTTTTCTTTTTTGATGGATTTTTTTTACGGCTGCGTCAGGCCCACCTTTCCGGAAAATATAAGCAGCACCTTTTTTTAAGCAAGGTCGGGATGGATGCAAAAATCGATTGCAACCTTTTGGCCCCATTTCCCCCCACAAAAACTGCGTCGTCCAGTCATCTTTTGAAATCACCCTCTTCCTTTTAAAACATACTTTACCGCATTACAGTCTGGCAAGACTATCGCATTGAAGGAAAGATTGCCTTGCCCGTGACCAGTCTCAAAACTTCCTGGGCCATCAGTCTCTCCCCCTTCTTTGTTCTCCGAAAATTCTCTATCAAATGTGTTGCAGACGGATGTAAAATGCAGAAGCGAAATGACAAAATGGCTAAGTTTATCTAGAATAGTTGCCTTCAAGCTCCAAAAGCATTTTGACACGCATTGGCCTGGGGAAGATGATTATAGACCCGCGTCCTTCTTTCCAAAAGGTTTGATTGAACCAAAAGTGCTGGTACCTAAAGAATGTGCAGAAGGATGTAGAATGTAGAAGGGATGCCAAAGGATGGCTAAGCGGCTAAGTTGGCTTATAGCTGGCCATCAGTCAGCAACTGGGGGTCTAAAAGCACTTGACACGCACTGACCTGGGGAAGATGACAATAGACCCGCGTCCTTTTTTCCAACCGGCCTTGTTGAACCAAAGTGTTGGTATCTAAAGAAAGGAGGTGTTGGGTGGAAACACGGAGGCGCATCACTGCAGGTTGCTCATCACAACTTGACCTGGCATTTGTACTTTCCAAACAACATTGGCATTGTGTGGGAGGTTGGAGGTAATGGTGAGGCTCGTGTGTTTTCAATTGCGGATGTTGCCGGATATAATCCAATACCTTGTTTATCATTGCACATTGCTGCAGCTGCTCAACACCGTTTTACCTCCTTTTTTTAGAAATTTCAAACCAAGCGACATTGAAACCACCTGGTTTTGAAAATGGAAATCTTGATCGACCAAAACCAGGGATGCTAATTCCAAACATGTTTTGCACCTTCGTGCAGAGACCTCATCACGACTTGGTTCCTTTTTCTGCACTCCAAAACAATGACCTTTTCTTGTGGTCTGTTGGAATCAATTCATACCACAACAAGGCTCATATATCCAAACTTTCAGGGTTCTAATTTGATAGCCGTTTAAAGTTCTAAAATCATAGTGGTGATGATTTTAGAACCTTCAACGGGAACCCCAGGGGGGGGATTCAAGACACCTCGATCTTGAGGGTATGATTTTCCATAGTTATGTAAACGTTTACCAGAGGGTAAGTTGGTTTCTGAGTCCAATAACTAGGGGTTATGGTAGATATATATATATATATATATATGATATATCGAACTAGTTACTATGGTTTATAAACAAACTTATAACTTATCTAAAGTTACTATGGTTTATAAACCAACTAACTTATAACTTGGGGGGGCACTACCTAATAATCCAACCTGGGAATATCTTGGGAATATCAGACAGGAATACCATGGGAATATGTTAAGATGCCAAAAATGGCGTCATCAAACATGCGGGAAAATGCCCTCTTCTCTTTTGTTAAATGGGAAAATCATAGAACTAAACAATGGAAATTCCAGCAAGCCATGTTTGACTACCCGAGGAAATATTCCAACTATTATCCAATCATATCCCCACAGATGGTTCATTAATGATGCATTATATCCACATTTTCCGGGGTGACATGCTTTGATGGTAACATCGCCACATTTCGACGATGCAGACCCCATCAGTAGCCGGCCAACATCATGCAGAAGCGCTGTTGCAAGGGTTATATCACCAATCAAGCAACACAAAATGCTGATTTTTGGTATAAGGTCAATATAGTTCAACATAGTTCAACATACTTCAACATACTTCAATATATACATATATATATATATACGTACATAATTACACATATATAGATATATATATATATATAGTTGAATGATGAACATATATATATATAGTTGAATGATGTTGAATGTATATATATATATAATTATAGTTCAATATTCTTCAATCATACTCCAAGCTTTGGATTTTCCAACACAATGGCTTGCCTTCGTGGGCTCAGGATTCCAAGAGTCCAGCTAGCCACATTTGATGGATTTCCGAGGGGGAAAATACACCATGACCATAAGCGAATCAGTGAATTGGAGTTATAGTCATCCCCAAATAGATGGAAAAGTGAATCAGCATCAAATTAGTAGGGAATTACTTTTCCATCTATTTGGGGATGACTATAAATCATGTTAAATCCCAATGTTTGCTGGTTAAGTCAAGATATGTCAAGATCTACGGCTCAAAACTAAGCCGTATGTTCACCTACACTCGTCAGTAAGCCAGTTTTTCAGCAAATCCATTGTCAGATCCCCATATTGTTGATGGTTAAAACTCATCAGAATGATCTTCAACCCCATCACAATTCTACAACTGGACCCATATTTAAGCCCAAATCTAAGATTTACATAGATTTACATCATACATCATATATATATATATATGTTCATTTGAACATACCCCCAAACATAAATATGTTTCGTTCCCATGGATCCAAACAAAACCCTAAAGATTGCTTCGAAGTCGTCGCCCAGGTGCAGTATCAGATCAGAAAGCAGCTGTAGAAAGCCATCTGTGCGGTATAAACGCCCCACCTGAGCCATTTCTGGGGGTGTTTCTTCGCTTTTCCAAGCACATCCAGGTGCAGTCAAGCAAAATAAAGGGCCGCTACGAGGCTACTAGGTCTACTAGAAATAGAGATTTAACTGGAAGGCAGAACAAACCCAAACATCCTTGAGGAGCAAAAATATGTTGTACATTGTTGTACTACAATCTAAGCAACACATATTGGATTCAGTGAGTTTTTTTTTTTGCATAGGGAATTCCTCCAGCTGGGAACAAAAAAACAGACACGGCTCTGATTTGCCATCAGGTTCATCGAGATAATCTTCCCACTTCATCTACATGGATTTTCCTAGCTAAAATCCACCTAGCTACCATTGAAAGAGGATTTTCATGGATTTTCCACGTTTGATGACACCAGAGGGACATGCCCAAAAGTAACTAATTGGAAGTGCATTCCAGGAACTGGTTTAGTCGTGTTTCACAGCCATGCTTGGTTCACCCATATACATAATATATCTGGGAAAATTATAATATGGTTAATAATATGTGTTAATATGGTTAATCTAAGGTTAATATTATGGTTAATAGTTATGAATAATGGTTATAAATCTGGGCAACACTATAATAATTCACTGACCTATAATTTTTTGGTCATTTGGGGATAGTCACCCCTACTAACCATCATTCCCAGTGAGGGAGAACAGTGAGGTCGTTATAGTTTACCCATATATAAATATGTAACGATGGCTTGGATTTGCTTAAGCCCAAAAAAAGTAAAATATTCACTATAGATTAGTGAGGTCGCAGTGAGGTCGTTATAAATTACCCATATATAAAATTATATAAATATGTAACGAAGGATATACCAGTTGTTTATATACGTAAATTGTATGTAACATATTTTACACCTAAAACAAATACTTATATACCCATGGTAAATTGTAAAGAACTGAATATTTTTTACAACTTGTTACATACAATTATACACAACTAGAACTGGATATTAATACAATACAACTGGATATTATGCACAGCTTGCTATCCAGTTCTTTACAATTTACCCGGCGCTACCCCGGGGCCTTGCTATCACTGACCTTTCCAGGGGACCCTGAAAAACCCAAAAATCAAGCGAAAGCTTGTGGGTGACAGGCCTCCCAATTAGAGAAAAATTGCATGGTATGTTGTGTATGTGTATATATAGATATATTATAATATATTATATATATAAATATGTATATATATATATATAAATATGTATCCATATATATGTATACCATATACATAGAGAGAGAGAGAGGGAGATTCCCCAAATCTTGGCTTTATCATCAGGAAGATGAAGAGAAATCACATTTTTCGCAACCCCAAATCACTTCATACAAATTCCATTTAAATCCATTGTTGCCTGAGTCAGTTGAATAGCAATTAGACAAAGTTAGACAAGAATAAATGGGACAGCCAACAGTAGTAAACATTTGCTGATGGTTTCCAACCATCATTAGTAAAAAACATGCTGATGGGTTCCATTTATAAAGAACATCAATCACATATGGGTAAATGATAGTAATTAACTAACCTGAAATGATAGTGTCCATTGATAGATAGCATAAATCACTCACATGTTCCGCAACCCCAGGTTGCTTCCTATTGAATCATCGTCCCAGCCACGTGTGTGGCTGCGCTGCAAATCTGCCAGTAGCTGATCACCCGCTTCCTGCGAGCGTCAGGGCGCTAAGAAGGCGTTGCCCTTGGGAAAAAAATGGGTTTTTACCGGGAAACATGAGGAATTAATAATTACAGTTCCCAGTTATTATGGTTATTATAATGGCCCTTATTCATAACCTAATCATAACCCAACGGGAAAATGATGAATCACCCAGTTTGTGAATTCTGTAGACCGTACCTAAAAATGCACTACTATGACATGTGGATTTAACCGACCAAATTTCGGACACTCTTCTACTTCATTACATTGGCCCTGGGATTAGTTGGTTCAGCCTTGGGCACTGCTGGTGGACATACTTTGGCTCTCCCCAGGTCTTTTTTCCGCAAAAGATGGACGTATGTCAAGTACCCATCAAAGGTTAACCGGTTAGCCCAGTAAAGGTCAGCACGGACAACAACGATTGACCCATATTGACCCAACAAATCCAGCAAGAAGCGACACACAAAGATGTTACAACCAACAGAAAAAGGACATTGATGATTGCATCAGACAGACGTTGGAAATTGACCAACGATGAATGGGTGCAGCAAGAAACAGAGATATTTTTTCATACACTCCGGCAATTATGGCAAAGGAACATCTACCCTCTGTTACATAACTATGGAAAATCACCATAGAAATAGTGAATTTTCCCATGAAAAATGGTGGATTATTCCATAGTTTTTTGTGAACGTTTACCAGGCCGGGTACCATTTATAGCTGATTTTGCCAGCTGTAAACCTTGATGATAGCCCCAGACATTGAACAAAGTGCTGTAATGTGCTGTAGAAATCGTCAGCAAAGTCGGTTTCTGAGGTGAATTCCTATATCCCATATGCTCCATGTATAGAATATTTACCAACATTTACCACCAACATGACCCAAATGTAGGTAAATATTCCATACAGGGAGCATCTGGGATAGCTATATCGTTGGTTAACAGGGTGAAGCTCAGAAATATCACTGAGCTCTGAATCCATTCAATCCCCAAGAAGTGGATCATTTCTGGTTGGTGGTGCAATAACCATCTTGAAAAATATGAAAGTCAATGGGAAGGATGACATCCCATATATGAAATGGAAAAAAAAAAACATGTGCCAGAAACCACCAACCAGATTTGCTATACCTCCAAAATGCCAAAGAAATCTATAGTAAACTGGTATATATATATGTCCAAGTCTATAAGACAAATGTTGAAACCGCATGTTGTAATCTGTCTCGTACAGCCTCGCTTGAAACACGCCGCTCAATCCAAGCACTTATCTTCAATACTCCCAAAAAAAAGCTGGGCATGATTCCCCCGATTTATGGTAAACACAAACACCAATATTTGAGGTCAAAAAGGTGTTTGGTCACCATTTATTGTTCTAAACACCAATATTGACCAAATATTTTAAACACCAATATTGGTCATTTGTTTTAATGACCCAAACACCACAATACCTTTTATGGTCGACCAAATATGACCAATCTCCGTTGCTTTTTTGTCCCCGTCTGGGCGAATCAGTACACATTTTGAATCGTAAACTTCGTAAACATTTTTTGAATCTCAGGTGAAGAATTCAACATATTCAACCACGCATTCAAAGATATACACTTATAGACCTTAACAGTTATAACCTTACAGTTAATGTCAACCCTGGGTTAATAAACCCCAAACGGCTGTTTAATTGGGAGGGTACCATTTAAGTATCAAATAGTGACTATTGGAGTACCCCCCCAATTAATAAACCAGGGTTTATTAATCCGGGGTTGACATTACAGGAGTTATAATCCCGTTTAGAACAGGGCCATCACGGCGGGAACCCCAAATCATCCAAGTCATTCGACCATGACTTAGTGACTTGAAACCTATCTGGTGACGACTGGGGATTTTTCATTTGAAGAAACCGCAGACCGCATGATTTCTTATCCTACAAGTTTAGAAGCTACCAACTGCTGGTAAAAACCATGAATCTAAAAAAAACATCTAGCCATCAACCGTTTCACGATTAACTGCTTGTTGAATGATTTTATCACCATTACAAGGAGGTGCCCGCCCCAGGTATGTTTGTTACTTTAGTTTCACCCCATCAACTGCTTCGATATATCTATCATAAACAGCAAAATACTGGCATGAAGCAACCTAGCTGACATTAATCAACTATCAGTCCCCATAACTTTGTTATTTCAATCCGCATGTTTAGATATCTTCAGTTAAATCCGAGTGTTCAGTGGCTAAATCTTATATTTTTTAATGGTTAGATCCCAAGTTTAAGTGGCAAAATTATGTAAACATCCCAGTTTTAAGTGCTTAAATCTGGTTAAATCATTGTTAAATCCTCAACTTCATGGCATGTCATGGCATTTCGTGGCATTTCATGGGGTAGCTCACCAGAAAGCGTCCCATCTCCATCTCACCCCTGCCCTGTCCAGATCATGCCGTGGACCGATGCCTCCAGGGAAGATGACGAGATGCATCGATATGATGGTCGGGGCGTGGTTTTACTCGAGAATATGAGATACCCTGCAGAAATAAATGGTGATTTAATGGTGATTTAATGGGATTTAATGGGAATCAGATGGAATTTAATACCTATACATAATAATCATAGGAATGTCAATGAATGTCAATTTGATGACCTGGTGATCATAAATGATATAGATGATATCTATATATATATAGAAATACCCTCTGGTAAATTAACAGTTCGACCCTGCCATTCATCGGGGTTGGAAGACTAGTTTCCACTATAAATTAGTCATTTTCAGGGTCTATGTTTATTTACCAGAGGTAATATCGGATACTATAGTAAAACATCTGTGGGTAATGATAAAAATAAACTGCATGGAAAAATGTGCATATTAAATCATATTAAATGATGCTCCTAATGGGTATGGATGGAATTGCCAGTTTTGGTGGCTTTGAAAACGCGTCGTTCAATAAGCCCAATCAGCAAAGGTTGTTTGGGGGTAATTATCCCTTGGTATGTACGGCCAACAATTGTTGAATGGAATGTTTATAGACAATAGCCTCTGGTAATTTGTTACATATAGCTATATAGCTATTGAAAATACCCCATTGATTGTTGATTTACCTATTCAAAATGGTGATGTTCTATAGTTTTTTGTAAACGTTTCCCAGAGGGTAGAGATTTGAGCCATCAAAAATGCACGCATCCCATCCAATGAAATTATGTATCCCTGTGATTGGTTGGTTCATGATCCCCGATAAATCAGGACGGTTGATAACCCCCAACAAATTAAACCATCAACCACCATTTATCAGTTATGTCCACCTATCTTTCATAGTTAAAAACCCATAAAACCCAAACAAAGTTACAGGTCAATCCCATGAAAATCCTTTTTTTTTTTTAAAAAAACTGAGTTCAACCATCATTTATCAACTTATATCCCCTATCTTTTTGGTGGTTAAAACCTGTTTTTCCCCATCTGTTTGCTGAAAAATCACCTTCTGAAACTTGCCTCTGCAGTGATCACCACGAAGAAGTAGATGATCAGGAAGTAGATGATCAGGAAGATCTGGGCGCCCCGTCCAATGGGCAATCATGTGGGATGTATACATATATATATATATAATTGTATCTATTTTATATTGATATGGATATACTATGTGTATGAATATGTTAATATTGCTATTATTATTGTTACTTTAAAAAAAAAAAGTATATATTATAATGATCAAGAAGATCTGGGTGGAGTCGAATGTTTTATTTTTGGAATAAATTGATGTATAATGGGCAATCACATGCGATATTTCTATAATATACATATACATATATCAAATTCAATAAATTCAATGACATTTAGATAACTTTAGTCCAATAATCTATCCAATTTCCGCAATTCTTTCACAGGATACGACATCGACTCCTTTTGGAACCAGGAATGTATCCATCTACACCAAGTTCTACCGAAATATATTGGTCCTTTTCCCTGTTGTTAAAGCCCCCAACAGTTATAGATTGGATTTTAATTCCTGCAACTAAGGATGTATATTATATTATACTATATTGTGTATATATATATTATATTATATATGTATATTATACATATATATATATTACACAAAACCGGGTTAAGAGTGGATCTTGGCTTTTCTGCAAGAGGCCCCAAAAGACTCAAGCATGTGCTTCTGGGTCAAATCCCTGGTATTGTACTTCTGAAAATATCTGGCAAATGGATGGTCGTTCTCCAAAAATACTGGCAGTTTCGTGGTTTCAACCCCTCTGAAAAATATGGAAGTCAGTTTGATGGGGTTAAATCATGTTGAAACCAACATAACTAGGGTTCATGCTAGATATACCCTCTGGCTATTTAACATAGCTATGGAAAATTGCCCAGGTGATAAACATGATGATGTACGTATGAAAGATGACCTGGTGATTTCAGTGGAATAAGTAGGCCTAATCCTCTTATAACTGGGGCCAAGTAGTTTATGTTCGTTAAGTCGTGAAATATGTTAAAATAGTGACACTTGCACTTGAACTCGGTACCCACCCGACAATGTGATGTCCCGCCCGTTTCAATTTTATAAGCCCCACCGACTAGTTTGATAAATCTACTATCAAGATAGTTACCCTCTGGTAAACTAACAGTTTGCTATTGAACATTGCCCATTTATAGTTGATTTACCTATTAAAAATTGTGATTTTCCATAATTATGTTAGTTTACCAGAGGGTCTATTGAAAGTTTAAACCAATTTAGCGGTTCCGAACGGGGCACCACCTTGTAATATTTGATGGTTGTCCCTCTTCCCCTCATTTTTCCACTATCTCCACATGATTTGATGATCATGTCCTATATTTTGTCCCCTGTTACCCTCTGGTAAACTAACATAGCTATGGAAAATGACCATTTATAGTGGATTTTCCCATTGAAAATGGTGATTTTCCATTGTTAGGTTAGTTTACCAGAGGGTAAGTCCCTATCTTGTTCACCTTGTCGTAATTCTCCAGGGTCGAAATTCATGATGTTCCTCAGTTCCTCCTTAAATTTCCGCCCCAAAAAATACTGTGATTTCCCAAGGATTTCATATGATGTTCACCTACAAGGTGGTGCCCCAGTTTGTTAGCTAAGTAGGTTTATAAGTCAAACTAGGGGTTATGGTAGATATACCCTCTGGTAAACTAACAGTTTGCTATTGAAAATGGCCATAGAAATAGTGAGTTTTCCCATTAAAAATTGTGATTTTCCATCGTTTTTTCTACGTTTACCAGAGGGTATCTATAGTTACTATGGTTTATAAACCAACTTATCCCGTTTTATCGTGGTTCCATCGCCATTGTTCGACCACCAGATCCGACCCACCAGATCCGCGCCAGGATCACCGAGGCACGACCAACACCGCCGTAGGAAGACCTCGGGGAATGCGGAGGTGGCCCCAGGAATTGTAAATGGCGTTTTTATGGCCCTAGATCCCTACTTAGATTAATGGGATTATATATATATAATATGATTATATATATAATCATATATATATATATATAATCATATATATATATATATATATGATGGCAGTTAGATTCATGGAATATCCCCACTTATCCGATTATATGGCTAATATGGATTAACACCACTTACTAAGTGGGATGGACATCCAAGTCCAAGTGCTTTTTCTTTTCCATGGTAGTTACTTGTAGGATCATCACACTTAGTAAGTAGCTTAGTTCACCCCATAAGTGGATTAAGCATGATTAAGCCTACTTATCCCACTAAAATCACCATTTTTAACGGGTACATCATCATGTTTATCACCTATCAATGGGCAATTGTCCATAGCTATGTTAAATAGCCAAAGGGTATAATATCTAGCATGAACCCTAGTTATGTTGGTTTTAACATGATTTACAGTAACCCCACCAAACTGGTGCAGCACCCTGTGGGCAACAACCATAAGGCTTGGGTCAGGGCAGTGCCTGATCAATGGATCTTTATCCTTATCGGGATTCATCAGCACTTGGTCAAGGGCCATTTCAGGAACCGATTTATTGGAGGTACCTACCGTATATAAGGCCTATTTTTCAGGCCTAAATTTCAGGGAATATCCCCCCAATTTATATGGCCTGAAAAATGGTACTAACGTACCTCCATTAAATCGGATCCTGAAGATCTCCCATTGAACTTGGGGATGCAGTTCCCGAAGAGTGGGTGGAAGAAACCTGGCACCACCAACCGGATGGTTGAAAGCCGTCTAAATCATGGGATTGATTTCTACCTCCTATCAACTGCAAGATGTCCCATCCACTGGATAGTTGTACCCATTAGTCACCACATATCCCAACTGCGGAGGTCATATTGCCAGGTGCTGACTTTGTCTGGTTGGTGGTTTTAACCCATCTGGAA